TTTTTCCTCGGAAGCATTGCATCATAATTGAAAACATTCTTGAAATCATCACTTGGTTCAGAGATTTGAAATCTTATACGTAATGGATTTTCTTTCTTTTTAGCGACTTCATTGAATGGTGAGAATACAATGAATTGACAGTCATGTGTTCCATCTTCATTTGGTACAAACTCGTAATGAAAAGCTATTAATCTTTCTACAATTCCTTCTTCTTTCAGTTGTGCAAGAAACTCACGTAAAGGCTGTAAAGTTTGTACTTCAATGTTAAACTTCTTTTGAAAATTTTCGTAAAATGTAATTATACAGTCTTCTAACGTTGTATCGTCTTTAAAGTATTTGTATATGTGAATGTTTTGGGCGCTTAAAGACTGTTCGTCATTTTCTATCTCGACTTGAAGTATAAAGTCAACCTTTCTGAAAGCACGTGTTATATACATATTTGTTATGCCAATGTACTTCTCTTCATTTATGTTCACAATCCAGTCTGTTGGAAACTTAAACGTTACTCTGTTCCCCTTTATTTTGACGTCAGGGTTTTCACTACTGAACGCAACAGATAAAGGTATTTGTCTATACATTTAGTTCGGATAAAAATAAACCATTTACTCTTTCTTTGCTTCAGCTTCTTTAGCTTTTGCTTCAGCTTCTTCTCTAGCTTTCTTCGCCAGCAAACGTGGGTTCTTTTGTCTTCCAGCAGCTAATGCAGCAAGTTGTTTTTCACTAAGTTTTCTCTTTGGTTTCTCTGGCTTTTGTTCTTGTTTTTGTTCCTTCAGTTCGGATAAAATTTGCTCACGAATTTCTTTCTTCAATGCTTCAACATCTATGACCTCTTGGGTCTTGTCCGTGGGACTTGTCTGAGTCATTTGACTGCAGATAAAAAACAAAATTAAAACTTTAACCGATGTAAAATGAGCTTGTCAAAATCAGAGCGAGAGTCTATTATATTAAATGACGCAAGAGGAATACAACATCCTTTCTATTACGTAAGTCAGAGTAAAGATGGTAAAATATACGTAAGAAAAAGAAAGGTTCCATTAGCGAATGCAGAAAGCGACAACATTAAGGTGTATGGCAAGGGTGAAGTCCACGAAGCCCATATAAAACCTTCTGTTCAAACTGAGCCACCAATAGAACCAGAAGAAAAGAAGCCAGATGTACTTTCAATAACAAACCAAGAGCTTATTGCAAAGTTCGTGAATTTCATTGAAAAACAAACCGAGTCAAAGAACCCTGACCCACCAGTGAAAGAAGTTGAGACAAAAGAGAATGTACAGTTCATTGAAAATGTCAAGAAACAACTTCCACCACGAATGCCAAGAAGAAGAGTGAGAATAATGAAGTAAATAGATATTTTTATCTGAAGTAAATACATGCAGAACGAACAGCTAAACGAATTTACTCCAGCAGAGCATATTCATCAGATTCGCTCATATTTCGATATCATAGACAATGCAGTTCAAATTGGTGACACTAATAGAAAATATTCTGACGCAAAGATTCCATCACAACCTGGAACTGCTAAAGATAACACATGGGTAACATTCAATCTCTCACCTCCTGGTGAAAATATGTTGGACCTTTACAATACATTCATTACGTATAAAATGGAAGGTCAATTTATTGTAGATAAAGAAATTGGTTCAGGTCCCAATAAAACAAACCCACCAGGATTTTGGATTGGTTTCGATGACGCTTTCTATGCAGTTGCTGGATATCAAATCCTTGCAAATGGTCGTATCGTATATTCTCAAGACAACGCAAGAGAAGAAGCATATATAACTTCAAACTCACAAACTACCGAACAAATAAAGAAAGTAGATGTTTTCTCAAAGACTCGACATGAAGATGTATGGAGTCATTCGGGAACATGCAGAACAGGACAAATTGTTAGTGGTCCAATTACAGCAGGAAAATCATTTGATTTTAAGCTTCGTTTAAGAATTCCTGTTAGAAGATTCCTTCCATTAGAAGCTATTCGATTTATTCCAGCTTTTGCAGGAAACATTCAGCTTAAAGTAAAGTTCAGTAGCGATGCCTTACAATGCACATCTATATCTGTAAATGATATCATTGCTTTCAATCCAACTCTTAAAGTTGCATTTGCTTCAGATTCAAATCCACCGACAAATAAATTTGTTCCATGGAATGAACCATTCACTATGATAACGAAGGCAGTAGAAGCTAGTGGAACAGTTACTATTACAACTGTAACCCAGCAACTATTTCGAACAAAGATGGATTTTAATGAATGTTTTATTCATCCAAAGTCATTCTCTTTAGACCCTAACATTTATACAGAACTTGTAGAACATTATACAAACGAGGCTTTATGTTTTCCTGTTAAAGTTATGGATTGGATTCCTATGGACGGTTCATTCTCAAAGAATACAGATAGTTCAAGTGCAACATTTACAGCAGCTTATACGCCTATTAATGTTAAAAGTATTTGGGCACTATTTAGAAAGAAAGACAACTATTATGTTAATTTTGAGAACCCTAAGTTTAAATATCTTCAGCTTTCCATGGGAGCTTATGGAAATATGCCTGCAGAACCTGAAAAATCATATGGACCTGTATTTTATGAAATGGTTGCGAACGCTTGCAATACAAACAATGATATGATAGGATTTAATGAAGATGTTATGAGGTCATTGGTGGATGATGGTAGTGTGGAACATAAATGGGATAGCTATGACAACACACATTTCTTATGTGGTTTTCCAACAGAAGTGGACTTTTGCTTCCAGCAAGGTCAAACATCTACTGCTCCAATAACATACAAATTGTCTGTTAAAGGACCTATTGAACTAGCAACTGAAAATGTACCAAAGCCACTTATTGGATTTATGAGGGATTGTTGCTTTGCCATTCAGGTGCGTGCTAATGGCATCCCCATAATAAGATTAGATGACTATAACTTAGCTACGGACGACAGTGAGGAATAAAGGATGAACGTTTATTTTTAAAGCTTATAAATGAGTTCTTCATCAAGCTCTCGTGAACCTTCACCATCTATGAAACAAATTTTACCAAACGATTATGGAGCACCTATTGAATATTTCTTACGAGCTGCACAATGGCAAAGAGCAGTCTCACCAAGGTTAGGTGTTCCACCAGCTCCTGTCAAAAATAGCATTTGGTCAAGTCCTTATATAAAATATGGTCTCCCACTAGGTTTGCTAGCTACAGCAGGAGCAGTTATGATGTTGAAAAGAAATAAAGCAAATGTTGTAAATAATACTGAAGTAGCTGAAGTTAAACAAACTCCAACACCTTCGCCAAAACCAACGTCAAAACCAACGCCTTCACAAGCAAAACCTTCAATGACTCCTGAACCTATGGAAGTACAAACTCCTGTTCAAAAGTCAACTCCTAAACCGACTCCAACATTTAAACCAGAACCTACTCCTCAAATAAATCGTAAAACTCCTGCGTTTCTTTACTGAAAAAATAACGTTATTTTTATTTAATATTAAAATTTTTATTTGATTGAAATGACAAATAAAGTCACTGAAGCAATGAAACAAAAGTTTTTGGTAGAATACATTAAATCAGGAACTATTCCAGAAGGTTTTTACATTCATACTATGAAGGATGGTAGAGTTCAGTTTAGAAAGATAAAGCAACCATTAGATAAAGAAGGAATTTTGAGAAAGATTAAACTTCATGAGGACAACATTGCTAAACTTAAGAAGAAGTTAGAAGAGTTGGAGAAAGGAAGAGAGTTATAAAGCAATGAATTCAACAAGGTGAAAAAACAGGTGAAAAAAGAGGTGAGATCTCACCACTTCACCTAAATTTATTTTTGTGCTATGTTTTCATATGTGTGAAGTCGTTAGTGAAGTCGTTAGTGAAGCACAGCAATGGGAAGAGTTGCAATACTTTTGTAAGTGAGAACGTTTATTTTTTACAGTAGTGAAGTCGTTTGTGAAAACGTTAGTGAGGTGAAGTGGTTGGCGGCTTTGTAAATATTTAAGGTTAAGTTAGTGTTGTCGTTTGTGTTGTAAAATATACATTAACGGTTTCGTAAAGTGTCAAATTCACATATAATGGGTAAGGAGGCTCGCAGTGCCTCCGTACACATGATATGTATACTAACTAATGCAATAGATTGCTATCTAAAAAATGCTACTAAATATGTCAAAGAATCGGAATTTGAAATAGTGGAAATACTTAAAAATCATGGTTCAGATCTACCATCGAATTATTATAACAATATAAACTCTTCTAAATAATGCGGAAATATTTACAAATCTTATTTCAAACCGGATTAACCGCATTCGATTTCTTAAAATTGAATTCAAATGAGGTTAAGTGCAATTAACGATTTAATGAAATTATGGAAATATAGAGCTTCTTTGATGATGAGATATTTGTCAAAGAATTGTCAAATTAATTCAAATTTTGAATTAATTTCAATTCAGAAGTAAATCATATTTATTATGCTTGCCATATTATCATTCCGCCTCTTGCCAGGTCAAAAGCCTATTCATGTTCCATGGCCGTTCCAATGCAAATCTGTAAGGAACGAAGAACTTGAAGAAGATGATGGTAACTTTGCAGTTTTCTAACAGAAACCGATTGCCTTTTTCCCTAAGAAGTGGATTAAGAGAATTCAGAAGAATTTTGATGAAGAGAGTAATTTTCCAGTTTTCTACCAGAAACCAATAGCATTCTTCCCAAGAAAATGTGTTAAGAGAGTTCAGAAGAATTCAATTCCAACTTTCCTTTTAACTTCATCTCGCTTGACTTCTGCAAATCTCAATCCCATGAAACCTCACTCAGTAACTCCAAAATTTATAATACATAGATACAAGTAACTTATTTAAAGAGTAAATATTCTTAATTTATTCCAAATACTGAGATTAGTTTTTCTTTCCTTCTCAAATAGTAATATTATTGAAATAAGCATATCTCAATGAGAAAAACATACTGATTTCAAGAAAGGTAATTAAAATTTAGAAATTATAAATGAATATACATATTTATTAATGAAATTATTAGTTTAATGATTCAGAAAGATCCCATAGCATTCTGTTATGAGCAATCATATCTTTTTCATCTGCAATACAATTTTCCGGACGAGTTAGAATGCAACCTAAGGCTTCAACAACTCCACCTGGTCCACATTGTGGCAGTGAATATATTCTGAGTCCACTTGAAAGCTTGTCAAGTGAACTTTCGCACATTACAAGAGAATATCCGAAATGTTTTCTCCATTTAGCAGCTTCTGGATTCGAATTTTCATATCGATTGACAATTGATCCATATAAGGCAGAAATAAACTCTTTTTCATATTCGTTTTGGGTTTCTGATAAATATTCCTCTAATTTCTTTGGTTTTACTGGAGATCTTAAATATTCAAGTTCTTCATCTGTCAACGGTCTTTCTTTTGTCTTTTTTAGTAGCTTTTTATAATCATCAACCAAATTTCCAGAAATAATTTTTGAAATTCTGTTCAATGTTGAAGAAATTATGCCTGCAATGTCATAAATTATCTTACTATTCTGCAATATATCTGATATATTTGTGTTATTAAATGGAGTATATAAAGATCTGGAAGAAAATTCTGGATTTCCAAATAAATTGCTGGAAACTACAACATTTTTGATCTCATTCCAAATCATCTTAGAGAAAGCAAGTCCATAGTTGTTTTCTCCTAAAGCTCTTTTTGTTGCTTCGGAAATTTTTCTTCCATCATAAGGCATCAAGTCATCCCATGACCAAATAGAGAAATGAAACTTTGTTGTGACCGATTGAGCACCTGTTTTCTCTTCTTCAGTGCCATAACTATAAGGAGACCAATTATAGCCTGCACAAAGACATTTGGTTTGTGTTTTTCGCATATGAATAATGCACTTATTGCAAAGATTACATATCTTATGAAAATATTCAGGAGAAAACCATTCAGGAGCAGGAAGATATAATTTTGAACTTAAATCGAGAACCATTACATGGAAGAATTTGGAATATGGACTTAAAACTGATATTACAGCTGGATTTTGGTCATTTTCTAACTTCTCTTCATATAATAAAGATTCTCTAAAAATTTGTGTTAATTTTTCTAAATTTACACAATCCTTTGGTCTCATACGTGCAGGTAACTGGAATCCTTGGCTATATCCTTGATCGCGAGGAAACAAAGGAAAAAGAGGACAAGTGACGAAATAATTTGGATTCATTATGATAAAATGGAGATCATTTTTATGGAATTTATATCACCAAGTTGAATATTTTCTATTCCAATATTATTATGCTATAGCCAATTTGCTCAATTTTAGAAAATTTCAGAACTTTTTTTTACATCGAAATTTTTTGATTATTTAGTTATCATTAGATTTCATATCAATATTAGTGATCAAAACAGATAAAATAACCATCATTTTTTAAAAGAGAATGGCTTTACCTTTTGCTGTGAAAGACCTTCCGTACTGGGACAGCAGCACAAAGAAGCCACTGATAGCATGGAGTCAAAGCGGCATAATTGCATCTGCTGTTGATAGATACGTAACATTTTATATCGAAAATGAAAATAAAGTTGATATATATTCATCAATTAAATGTTCAGACTCTCAAATCACAACAATAACATGGTCACAAGGGTTTAATTCTGATGGTTTTACGCCTCTTTACTTACTTATAGGAAATATCGAAGGAGATGTGAGAGTTTATGATCTATTGAGAAATACAGTCTTAAATTCTGTTCATTTACGTGAAGGATCCGTCATTTCTAGTGTTGGATCTCCACTCAATGCCCTTGAATTTTACATTGGATCTTCGAAAAATACCATTTACTGCATTGATTTCAGTCCATTGGACACACCATCACTTGTGTGGAGCTTGCCTTCACCATATACACCCAATATATTGCGAATTTCTCCACATGATTACACACAATTATTATGTTTTGCGTCAACTGGAGAATTTTCCATACTTGGCGATATTGACCTCCGAAATGGTGCCAAAATCATTTCAAGTCTTGTATTTTCTGACCACGACCACGGTCAATTCATGAATTGTAACTTTTATCCTCATCTCGACAACTCTATTTACATTGTTGCTACATCTGGCGTGTTCCTATATACATTCAAAGATAACGTTTTTACATTGATTTACAGCGCAGACAGCCGCAGTGACATTATATACGATGCATTCTTTCCGAAATCAGACGATAGACTAATAGCGATTATCCACAGGACACATATACGTCTCAGCTGCATAGATCAGCTCAATCTCGACTCATTCCAGAGCGTTCATGCGATATCGGATGGAACAAAAGATACATTTGAGTCATCCGTTGGATTTCTCAACAACAAATTGTGTCTTTTATCACGTGGATCAATCCAAATGATCCAAATTGCGAATAGAAAATTCAGAGTTTATTGCATCGCGAGATTTCCATTTGGAAAGCCAACAGGTATCTGCACACATAAGAATATGATATCTATTGCCAACGAATATGGTTTTGTTGGCATTTCTTCAATTCCAAAGGATTCTCCATCTTATTACGTCGGATCATGCACTTACAACAAACTTATTAGAGTCATCAATGGTAGAATACACTCCTTGCATGCTCTTACAGATAATTTGATCCTTATTTCAGGTACACAAAAAGAAAATCAAAAAGTTTTGATTTTTGACGCTTCAAACCTCAAATTACGTTCCGTTCTCAAGGAGAGCCAAGAGATCTCCACAAAGGATAAGCCAGTGGTCGTTGTAAGCCCCAATAAAAAGTATTTCGCAGTTTCTCTTGGTGACTCAATTTTGGCACTTTTTACTTCCCTGGGGAAGCAAATTACATCGTTTACAAACAATCAGAAAACATTTGTTGTTTTTTGTTCTGACCCTGATGAACTGCTTGCAATATCTTCAAATGGTAATGTTTACGATTTCGAACTTTCAGACGATAATTGTAAACTTAAGAAATCTTTCCTATTACAAATTGAGAGGGAAACGATAACAACCGTTTGTTCCTCATTCAATTGTTTTTATGTCGGCACTAAGAGCGGCAAATTGTATAATTTTGGTTGGGACATGAAGCAGATCTCCAATTGCCAGGTTTCGAACAAACCATTATCCGAAATCATCATCGGTGAATCAAAAGCTATCGTCACCGATAACAATTTTGGCACTTTTCGGGTTGGCATCACACATGATTTAGTTTCGAAACAGATGAAATCGAAAGTTGATGTATGTCAGTTCCTTTCAGAAGATTACTTGATCTGTTGTTTGAAGGAAGAGAAGTCAATAAGTGTTTTGAGTTCCAATGATTTAGAATCTCGTTTTGAAAGAATTCCAACATTCTTTTTGGAAACTCCTGTTTTGTTCTCGGATTACGCGAGAAAGGAGTATTTCGGAAACGAGTTGAAGAAGTGCAAGAACTTAGAAGCAGCTTGGAAACTCTGCGATAGAACAGGATATTTCATTTTAGGTGAATTGTTGAGACTCAAAAACAAAATTTTTAGTCCTTTAGTTTTCGATATTTCTGGCCAAGAAAAATTGCATTCACTTTTTGAGAGTTTATCGTACATGTTTATAAGAAGTCGCGGAGATAATGCAACAGATAGAAGAGTTAGAATGTCATTGCTTCGTAACGACAGACAGAAAGCTTTAGAAGTTTTTTTGACACCGAATAATTCATTGAATAATTTTGAAAAGAATGTTTTGAAAGCAGGATATCTTAATTTAGAGAGTTCTGCTGAGTCTGCTGCTGTTGTTGCTGCATTGATTGGAAATGGATGTTATGCTACTGCAATTGATATCCTTCTTATAACGAAACAATACGGACAGGCTGCGAGATTATGTCTTCAAAACTCTGAAATGGAAATGGCTTTGCACATTTCTTGTTCACTTTGCAGAGATGAAGATAAAAAGGAAACTGTGGATAAAGTGGCGAAATCACTTGCTGGTTCAAGAAATGTTATTCACGCAGCTGCTTTGCATCTTCTTAACGACGACGTCCCAAAGGCTGTGGAATGTTTGCAGCACAAATTGGACATTTCATCTATCATTAAATTGTTTTAAAATGTTTTTTAATTTTTATTTTTAAAGTAAAGCAGTATTTAGTTTGTAATGTCCTCCTTTATAATTCTCATTATGAACAAAAATTATCTGATATAGGTGACTCAAGTTTTGTTGAGCTCTCATAATGGAACAAGATATTCAGATTGATAAAATTCTTTATGTTTTATTATGACAAGAAAACAAAGTAAATCTCTTTATGTCTGAAGGTGAATTAGTTCTGTTTCACATTCATAAACTTATGTAATATTTGATTAAAAATGGTTATTTATTCAGATTGAAATTCATCTTCTCGCCCACTTGTTTTTGGTCTGTCCAATTATGCAGAAAATTGAGAGTTCTTTCATTTATTCGACCTATTTTCCAAACAAACGAGTAAAGAAAAAATTCCAACTTGAAAATTTTGATCAAAAATTTTTGAAATTTTATCTGACACTGTGTGTTTAAGAAATATACAAATTGTAATAAAAAATTTATTCCTGCAAAAAAAATAAATGGAAGGAAATTTCTTCTTACAAGCAATCACACCCTGTTCAATTAATGAGCTTCGTTCCATTAAAGCCGATATTATTATTAATGGCGTGAAATATATGGCAGCTGGCGATCGTGGAAATATGTTGCATACATTCCGCTGGGATGACGAGAAAAAGGCATATTTCCCAGTCAATGCTTTCCACGCACATGGTGGCGCCGTTTCTGCCATTACATATTTAGAGCCATGCGACTGGGTTCCTGAAGGTGCCTTATTTACTTCATCTCAAGCCAAAACAATCTGTGCATGGGATAATTCGATATTTACAACACAAGTTTCCGAGCCTTCTCCTACTATTACTCTAATTGGACACGAAAACAACGTTTGTTTCTTAACAACAACAGAAAACCACGAAATCATCTCATCATCATGGGATGGAACTGCCCGCGTTTGGTCGAACGGTACGGAAATCCTCAAGATGTCACAAAAAGATGGCGTTTGGGGCGTTGTTCCAGTTCCCATCGGATATGCCGTCCTTGGAGCTGACAAATCCATTCGAATCTACAACAAGCAAGGCGCACAGGTCTCAGTAACCACCGATGCGCATACAGATGTTGTCCGCGCTGGTCTTTACATCAAAGATGTTGCAACATTAGTTACAACATCGAATGACGGCACAATCAGAGAATGGTTTATTGAAGAGGATGGTCGTCTCACCAATCTCGAGATAATTGCCGTAACAGATACCTATCTTTATACGCTTACATTAGTTGGAAAATCTTATGTTGTCGGATGTGAAGACAAATGCGCTTATATCGTTAGCTCAGACACCAAGACCGTCAGTGATGTCATTCCTGTCCCCGGAGTTGCATGGTGTGTCTCTCCAGCTCCAAATGGAGTTGCGATTACCGCAACCGATGGAGTTATCTACACTTTTACGCAGGACAAAAATTACAGAGCCGATAAGGACACAGAAGAAGCTTACATCAATAAAGTGGCCGGACTTACTTTCAATAATCCCCAGATCGACCAATACGTCTTAGAAGAGCTCCCTCCTTATTCCGAGGTTAACAGTCGAGAGGTTGTACCTGGAAGGTTCGAACTCATGAGGGATGGAGAGGAAAAGATACTTGTTGTCTACAATCAAACATATGGCTGGATGAAAGTCGGTACTTACTCAAAATCTAAGGGCGCACAAGCTCAGAAATATACAGGACCTGATGGAAAACAATACGATTACTGCTTTACTATCGATGTTGAAGATCTCGGAGGTCAATATCCTCTTTACATGAATTACAACACAAATCCGTATACAGCAGCATCGAATTTCATCAGAGAACATAACCTTAGGACCTTCTACATGGACCAAATCGCGAATTTCATTATTCGAAATCTGAAAGGTACGAATTTACAGATGCAATCGTCATCGGAAAGGGCCCCTGAGCCAGAACCAGAGCCTCCGAAATCATCGATGTTCCCATCAGAGCCAAATTACATTTCCGGAGGAAATCCAGAAGTAATTGTCAACAAACTTGCACAAATCGCCGAGAAATCCAACTTAGAGTTCTCTCCAGAAGACAAAGCCATACTTTCCAGCCCTCTTTCCGACAATTGGGCTGCATCTGCCTCATCAATTTTACTTATTTGGGATGTAGGTGATGCATGGCCGCTCCTTGATATGTTCAGAGAACTTATATTGCATTCCGATAGCCGCAAGTACCTCCAGGATGATTTTGTCGCTACAATTGTTGACAGATTCGCTTCTGCAGGAAATGACCTTACAGATTACGGAGTTATGGGTCTTATGAGAATTATCTCCAATCTACAGAAGAATTACGCTTCTTGCGCATTAAATAAGATGAAGATTCTCCATATCTTCGACGGTTTCGTTGAAAGATTGAAATCTCTTCCAAAGATATCACAGATTCCATTTGCCAATGCTATGATGAACTATTCTCTCTACGGACTCGCCAAACTCGATGACCAGAAGTCATTTGTTTTGACATTGCAAAAAGCACTTGAATTCTCTCAGTTAATTGACGACGAAACTCTCTACAGACTTCTCATGGCTGTCGGAAACACTGCTGCAAAGTATCCTCAGACAAGACAGCTCTTCCTCAATAGACCAGAGCTTTTGGAGACTGAAGGAAAGTCAGAGAGATGCAGCACTTTGATCAGTGAAATTGTTAAGATTCTTCAATAAAATATTTTATTATATATTTTTAATGAATATGTTTTTAATATAACAAGATATTTGGAAGAATTCTAGAAAGATATGTTGCTTTAATCAATAAACTTATTAAGATTGAATATGTTTTAAAAAGAGAGTATCATACAGATATTGAGAGAAACAATGAAAATAATATCTTTTATTTGGAAGTGTGTTTTTTGAAGAATTCCTTTAACAAATGAATTTAAAGATGTCTCTACGTCCGATAGAAATGTATCAGCTCGCACAACCATACTTATGCTAAGCTTGTTACAATTAATAATGTTTATCTATAGTTGGCTTTAATTTTCTAGTTGATCATATATCTTGTCTGATAATTTTTTTGATTATGAGAATAAATTTCCATAAGCACTTCAATATTGACCTAAAATCCTTTCAGTTTATAAGATGCAAGATATTAATTCATTTTCAGGCATTAGGAATGACAAACAGATGATATTGTTCTATATATAGATAGATTTCTAGCTAGATATGAATCCAATGTAAGTGTATATTGGAATATGTTTAATCTTCTGTAGATCTATGAATTTCATTGAGAGAGAGGAGGGTTATAATTATCATATCCGTTTTTTACTAACATTTATTCCGATTTCACGGTTTATTCAGCTATATAGCATAAAATTGGATGACCTTAAATAAAATTTCATTTTCTAATGAAATGAGTTAGTATGATAACAGAACTTCGGAAAGTAATCACAGTATTAAAGACTGAAATGTATATTTTGATATTCTTTCAATATGATTTTGAATAATATTTGATTTGAGTGTGAGTTTTGCTTATATTTTTACATGTATTGAAAGTATGGTTCTTTTGCATCATATTATAAGATTATAGCAAAATAACGAATTTTTTTAGAAGTGAAAAAAAAATACGTTAGTCAATGCTGGACTCTGGGTTCACCTTCCAGGCGTCAGCTCGAGCAGTCGAGCAACGGGATAGATATCGCAGTACTAACGCACCAAATGGGCCATGCTTGATTACCGTTGACCCTCGCGTTTGCCGAGGTTCTACATATTCTCGTCATAAACCAGTAGAACAAGAAGCTCCTAAACCAAAGCCAAAGAGGAAATTAGCGTCTCCTAGGGATAGAAGCCTCATGGCCGGCATCCCGAATGATACGTTAGTTGCCGCACCGCAAAAAGAAAATCGCATTGATTTAGAAATACAGACAGAACCTTATTTACAAGAAGTTGTTGAAAAGCCAGTTATCGTAAATCAGGATACGCAAACAGATGAATTTCTTGACAGACCAGAAACCCCTCCATATATTCCACCTAAAAACGGTATTGATATTGAAATTCAAGTTGTCGAATCAGATCTTTTCGATTTCGATTTCGAAGTTAAACCAATCGTAGCAACTATAGTAAGTAAAACGTTAGAACAGGCATTTCTCGAAGTTCATGAAGAAGAAGAACTTATTGCAATTCGTCGCCATAAGGAAGCTATTGAGCATAATCGCAACGTCGAACTTGCCGATGTTCAGCGTTTGGAGGAAGCAGAAAAGAGAAAATTCGAAGAAAAGCAGCATCGTCTCGAAGAACGCGAGAAAATCGAAAGAGAACAGAAAGAACTCCGCGAGAAAATTGCAGCTCGTGGTTACGCCGAATTCTTTGCATCAGATCTGATTTCAAGCGCTATTACAACCCTCGAACGCCGCGGATTCTTCTACGATGAAGTCGAGCGCGATATCGAGACTAACTTCATGCCATGGCTCGCTAAGGCTATGCTCGAATCTGGAGAAACAAGAGATCTTCAGGAAGCTATCGTCGACCAGGTCAATAACGAAACGATCCGTGTCGAAGAGAAGATGTGTTCTGAAATCAGAAAGAACTTGGATGCCCAGGATAATGACGAAGTTGAACGTCGTGACCGTATGAAGCGTTTGATGCTCATCGAAGATATTATGGCTCATAAGATTAAGGAAGCTAATAAAGGAAAAGAAAAGAAGGAAGAGAAACATGATGAAGAAGAGGACAAGGAGTAAATCTTTTTATTGATTTTTTTTTGTAAAAGCTCAAAACTCAAAACTAATTCTACTATTTATCAAAACTCATATCATCTATAAAAAGTTAGTATTTACGTAAATAACGGACAAATTTTTTACCCTATATTTCCAACTCTTGGAAAATTTTCATGACCCCCTACCCAGGGTCCTAAAATGGGTATTTTCCTCACACAGACACCGTGGTTTTTTGAGCCGGGAAATAAATAGCGCAGACAGTTTCTACATATAGAGACATGCTTATACTTAGAGTTTGACTGGAATCTAAATTGATTTTTTTCTGCATCGCGAAATCTAACGCAATCTCAAAATCATGAAGAAACTGCGAATCGGAGCGCAATTTTTTAATATGTTAATATATAAAGGTACCCCTACTACTGCAAATGCTTCAAATGAAAATCTAAGAAATCAGATTAATTTGATCACATTAGTATAGTATTGGTCAAACCAAAAACTCATATGTTGATATATAGCCTATAGATATTCATATTATCTACTTTTCATTGAATTACATAAGATTTAATAATCTCATAAATATTCTTTTTAATTTTCCGAATTCCGTGTGCATTTAGATTGCCTATACCTGTATATAATAATTCTAGAATGGTTTGGTTAGATATTAAGTTTTTTAGATTAATATTTTAACATTTTGATAAAACAAGCATTTGTTCCATTTTAGAATCGCCATTGAACTCTAGTTTGACTAACATGATGTTGTATGATCAAATAAATTCTAACTTCATGAGATAAATTTTGAAATTAGAAAATGCGATATCTGACACAAATATTTATCTGAACACATTTAACATTCAATGATAAACTAAAGTACTATACAGCAGATTCGATTTGGCTTATATTTTATATAATCAACAAATAATCCTATAAAATTGTGCTACTCACGTTGCTCAAAGATGTATTGAACATTCCCTACTTGTGTATTGATAAAATTAGATATAGATTCTAATGTAAATCGATATTTTGAAAATTCATATATATTTTGTCTTGGTTTGGCATTTGATCGTGTTGAAACCGGAATTGCAATATATATCATCTAAATATATAACTATCAAAATATGAGCTATAGATTTTTAAATTATTCTCCTGAATATGAGTGACTAACATAATTATATTGAATTGAGTAGTAAGAATCATAAATATTAGAATCTGACGATAATTTATTATAACTTTATATAGGAACAAGATTATAAATGATGATGAAAATAAAGATTAAATTTAAATCTGAAAATTTGAAAACATTAAGTGTATATGATAGCATTACAAAATTAAATTTTATGTGGAAGAGGAAATAGAGGAATTAGAAGTATTATGAGAAAATAATAAGATATAAAAACAAGATTCTATTAAATGAGTTAATTTATAGAAAGGAATAACAGTGTGAATGTAGTAAATGAATGTTTTCATGATGTATTATTGAAATCTTAAGTTTTGTTAAGAAGATAATAAGGGAATCAAATTTTGTATTAGGAAGTTTGACCGACAAGAGTGTATTGTGCACTCTTGTCGGTCTGCATGTCTCATTCCGGGAGACATTGTCACTGCATGTCTCCCAGAATGAGACACTCTTCCGCATTCATAACTTGAATGCGGAAGTTTGACCGACAAGAGTGCATAATACACTCTTGTCGGTCGAAGTTTTGCAACCACATTCTGATTGCAGAAGATTGTCTCATTCTGGGAGACATGCAGTGACAATGTCTCCTGGAATGAGACATGCAGACCGACAAGAGTGCATAATACACTCTTGTCGGTCGAAGTTTTGCAATCGCGTTGTGATTGCAAAAGATTGTGCTATTCCTGCATATTTTCTACGAGCCTGCTTCATAAAATTGAATCCTTCTATCCAAATTAAATGCGATTTCGCTAATCTTTCATCTAAAATCACTAATCAGAAGCATATTGCAAGTTAACTTGAACCGGCATGTTCCTCCTATCCTGTCTTTCAGTTCTTTCTATCAGCCATGGTTCACAAGGAGGAGAGCTTTGCGCACAATCAGACATAAGATTGCGGCAGAGGAACCGGGAAGAGAGCAGCTTGAAGCGGTAAGCTGTTTTCAAGTCTTTAGTTAACAAACTTTAACAAAAGACATCTAAAAAATTTGAAATAATTGCAAAATAATGCCGTCAGGTAATGCGCACCTAAGGGAGGTGTTTTGCGGGAGCTGGGGGTATCTTGGTGAGTACTCAGGAGGCCAAGAAGGGCACCCCAACCGACATTTTGCTGACGCATTGTGTAAGCAACCATTCTGATAGCCGCTCAAACCGTCGGGACAAAATAATTTATGAAATTATAAGTCATCTTTCTAATACATATTTTTGGAAGGGCGTAAGATACGCCAACTTAAATAAAAAAAAGGTAGTGGGGCTTCCAGGCGCGTTGCGCCCTCTAGCCCTGAAGATGTTTAGTATAAATGAAGTTTATATTCGGAGGGCTTCCAGGCGCGTTGCGCCCTCTAGCCCATAAAAAATTTCTGAGGACGAGCCAGCCGTTGACTTTTTTGTAGAGCACTCAAAATAGTATAACTTTGTCCGGACAAGCAAGGGTCTATCGTCGCTACAGGAAAAGTTACAGGCGTTCCAAGGAAGTATACTTTGAGAAGCCTTTTCCCCATATAGAATGAGATAGGACGGTTATTTTACAAAACTGACAACACTTTGACCGAGTAGTTTTTTGTGCTGAACAAAAAGTGTCATATAAACATCTGTCAAAAACCGTTTTTTACTTCACTTAAAATGCCACGTAAGCTACGTAAGAATATACGTAAGAGGAAGGGAGCATTGAAACATCCAATAGTAAAACTGACACCACAACAACAGTTGCAACAACAAATGATGAATGACCCCACTATGTTGCAACAAATGTCAAGCAACCCTATGCTTTTAAACCGAGTTATTGGTGCACAGAGTGGGGGTTTAAGAGCGGCACTTTTAGCGAAAATGGCAGGCTATGGTGGAGCTGCAGACGGAACAGCTTATAACCCTCAAAGTCAAATGAATTTGAGTTCACTCAAAAATCAAATAACAGATGTCAAAAAGTCAAACATAGACATACAGAAACAAATAAGTGAAAACGAAAAGAAACTAGAATATGACAGACACACAAAGAAACTCAATGAGTTAAACGTAGAGAAAAAGAAGAAAGAAGAACAACTGAAAGAACTAAGTACAGAGGAATATGCGAAAAAAGTGTCAGAAAAAGCAGCAGAAGTAGCAAAAATGGAACAAGATGTTATAAATTTGAAAAACCATACTACTCAATATAAAGTACTGAAAGATGAAGAGATAAAACAAAAAGCCCTGAAGACATATATGGATAGCGATGAGTATAAAAAAGAAGTTGAAGCAAATGTAAAGGCAGAAAAACTTTTACAGTTGCAAAACCAAACCGTACAGTATGAAAACTTAGCACAAGAAAGTAAAAATAACGACGCAGCCATGCAAAAGGCAATGAAAAGCGCAGAATATATAAAAGCTAATAATGACTGGTTAGATGCCCAAGCCAACGCTAAAGCAGCCCAACTTCTAGGGTCAATAAGGACAAAAATACAAGCGGATGAAGACAGTTCAAATGAAGCTTTAATGAATGCTGACTTTAAGAATGCCTTCGAAGCTCTTCATAGTAAGGTGAAACTAGTGAACGACTTCTCATCTGGAAAGAAACTGAAGTCTGAAGGTTTCGACAAAGAGTTAAGAGAAGTAGCACAAAATATGACGAAAATAACAGATGCAGCAACGAGACAGGCAGTTCAAAGTGCCTATGACGCCGTTAGAGCAACTGTTGTGGAAAGTCAAGAAAAAGAGTTACAACAGACCAAAACAGACCTAGTAAATGCTTTCTTAAGAACGAAAAGTCAGGTAGGACATTATGCTGCAGATGGAACATATGTGCCAGCTGGTGGAACTTATATACCACCAAACCCTCCAAGAGAAGCACCTGCACCAGGACTACCTAAAACATTTACATCGTCACATGGACACAGACACAGGCATGCACCAAAACCAACACAACAACCAACAGTTCAAAATCCAGCACCACAACAACAACCAAAACCAACAGTTCAAAATCCAACACAACAACCAACAGTTCAAAACCCTGCACAGCAACCAACAGTTCAAAATCCAGCACCACAACCACCTCCACAACCAGCACAGCAACCAACAGTTCAAAACCCTGCACAACAACAACCACAAACAGAGCAAGGACATAAAAGAAGTAGAGAAAAAGGAAACCAAGAATTCTTAAAAATGCTTAAGGAAGATTATGGTTACCCAGATACTCTTGACTTTAGTGACAGATATAAAGAAGCTATTAGAAAGTTCAAGGAAGGAAATACTGACCCGAACCTATTTAGCTTTATGGTTCAGCACCAAATGGGATATAATCTCAAACCTGGAAAATACAAGCTCGCTAAGGGATATGATTTAATAGCATATCATCCAAATGACATGAAAGAATTTACTCCGAGATATTTGGTGTCAGAGCTAAATGATAATTCAACTCTCTTCATGAAACGCGTAAAAAATAGAGGCGGAACGAAAGAAGAAAGGTTTATGAGTCCGGATGACTTAGATAGGGAACTTGTTAAAAACGGTCTCGGAATATATGAAATGCCAGCAGATGAGGTACAAGAAACTCAACAGGAAGAAGTTCAGATACAACCAGACATGAAAGAAATAGTTCAGCAACAACAGCTAGAAGAGCCTGAAGGAAACGAACAAGTCCCTCCTTTGGAAACTAACTTCACAGAACTAGATGAAGATTTGGAACAGCCGAAAAATCTTGACCCTCAACAAGTGTATGCGGAGAATATGGAATCTTTCCAAGAGTCTAAGAAAAATTCGGCTGACATAGTAGAAGAATATCGAAAAATGTTCGCCGACATACAAAAGACTCCAACATCAGATGAAAATATTCAGCATAGAATGGAAGTACTGAAAGAAAATGTACGCAAATACAACAATCCTTTTTACTTACGACCATATAACGTTCAATCTTTGGCTGAACTCGGTGAAAATAAAAGGTTAAATTTCAACAAAACATATAGAAATGAAACATTGTTTAAAGTTCATTCAGAACCTAACCAATATGGAAACAAACCTACTTTTGTTTCTGCAGACTATGGAACTACAATGAGATGGGGTCATAAAGCTAATCCGGATAGGTGGTTCATAAACTTACAACCACAATTCCAAGAAGTTGTAGACGCAATGGAAGTGAATGGTGAACCAGATATAGCTGGTATTTTCAGCGCGGCTTTAATGCCATTGAAAGATATGAAAGATGCAGATATTTTGGACCAGTATGAAATGAACATGGCTGATGGAAATATAACACCTGACGTTCTAGAACATTTATCTCAAAGAACTACACAGAACCATAGAGATGGTATATTTGGTGAAGAGTTTAGAAAGAAAGTTAGGGAGAGAGAAGGAAGAGAACCTATTGTACATGACCTTGCAAACGAAAGTTTGCAAAATGTCATAAAAACTTACTTTGCAGACAATGAACTGAGAAGGGATGAATATTTAAGAAAACTCAAATGGACAGTACCAAATGAAATGTTAGTATTGAAAAACATGTTCCTTGACAAAATAAAACCAACTACAGAAATAAATGACGCAAGACTGAAACATTGGGTAAAAGCTTTCCCATTCACAAAAGATATTATTGGTAACATGGAAAGAAAACCAGAATGGCTACAAAAACATATATTTGGAAACGAGCTTATTCCATATGGACAAGCTCTGTTTGAAGAGCTTGAACCGGAAACTCAGGAAAGAGTCATGCAAACAATACGCGAAGACTCAAATACAAACTATGACAAAATCTTTCTAGGATATAGGTTACCTGAGATGGGCGACCAGAGCCCAAAGGCAAAAAGGACATGGGAAATTTACAACATACTAGGTGAACATGAGGCAAAGATGCTACAACTTGAAGCAGAGGGCAAGTTACCAAAAGCGACACCAAAGAAGAAGAGAAGAGTAGAACAAAGTGAAAGTAGTGAAGAAGTAACTTCATCTAGTGAAAGTAGTGGCAATGAAGGAAAAAGAAGAGTTAAAAACTCAGTCAGGAAGAAAGTAAAGCTTGGTACGAGTGGGTTCTATTATGACACATAAATCCAACTATTCTATATTTTTACCCATATGAAATGTACGCCGCTCAGAATATAACGCCAACAGTTTTGGATGCCATGAACGGAAATGTTTCCGAATGGTATAACGAATGCGACAATGCCATTAGAAGGTCAGAAATAGTTCCTGGAACTTACGAATATACAACTGCTGTTTCTTATGGAAACGTAGGTGAGTTTGGAGAAGGTTCTTCAACAACAGTAGATATTGCTTGCGACAGGTTTCATATTATTTCTATTGACAACTCATTCTTATACGTGGAACAAGACATTGAAATAAAACCTTCTGCCAAGTTGTCTGACAAGAAAGGTTGCAATGGAATTTTCTATGTCGGATACCAATATGCTCCAGAAGTTTTCATGGGATATAAGATATATTCTAACTCTAACTTAGTTCAAACAGTAACATGGGCAAACTATGAATGGTTCGCTTTGAGAAACTCAGTACAACCACAAGCTAGAGAACAAACAGATCAGTATGCAATATTGAAAAATAAGAAGACTTGACCCTAACGTTCCAGGAGTTTATGTTAACCTTTCTGGTTCAGATGGAACTGCTGCCACTAAAGTAAAACTGAAACTTAGAGTTCCTTTGTCATCTTTCCTCATCTTCAGGTTTTTAAGATACTTGCCAAACTGGGCAGGAAAAATTTCTATCGAACTTACTCCAAGCAAAAATAACTTAGTCATTGCACCAACACAAGACCCATTCAGCATTACAGACGTAAAGGGAACAAATCAAACGTCATTCGCCGAATTTTGCAAAGACAAAGTTGACTTAGACTTTGGTTTCTCAAACTTCAACAATGAAGTAAACTATTATTTCAATGCTGCTGGAACTGCTTGGGACCCAGTTAAGTTACATGCGAAAAATTTGAATGCAAGAGAATAGAAAGCAGACTTGCAGTCTATATGTTGGACCCAGATATTTCAAATGCTTTAGCTGCCAAATATATTGCAGTTCCACTTATGTTCCCTATACACCAAATATCTGTCAAAGACTTTGCAGGTGAAGTTGGAAACCAAAATCCAGGAGCCGCAGGTGCAAGAACAGATATTGCTTTAACAACTGCAATGAAACATGCAGATACTATGTTTGTACTGTTCAGACGAACTATAAATGACTATTCTTGTTTCTACAACCCTGGTATTAAATATCATATAAACATAGATGGCAAATATTATCCAAGAGAAGAATATTCTACAGTTGAGGATATGAGGTCATACAACTTGACATTAGATGCTATGAACTTTAACAACAACTTCACAACAACCATTAACCCTGAAATGCAAAGTTCTATTATGCCATATGTGAAAGTATGGACTCATACAGGAGGTCAAAAAACTCAATATACAAATGGAGACCGTTCAAACTTTTGGCTTGGCATTCCATTTGCTGACTCAGAAGACTTTATGGGTGGTATTTCAACTGTTGGTACAGTTCAAATACAATATACTGGTGACAGAGACGGTCCAGATGAATTGAAAGCAAAGAAGTTTACAAAACCAATAGCACTTTTCACGGAAGATGCTCTTTTGAAGATTCGTTCGATGAAACCTGCTGGGGCTCCTCAGATTGGCATAACGACAGCTTCCATCGAGCAGATTTTGGCAGCAGGTCAGTAAGTTGTTCTTGAACTGACTTCTCTCCGTCAAATATTGACAGTACGCCAGTTTTGACATAATATTGTATTATAAACTTTCCTTTAGTAATATCTGTAAGTTTTGAAGTTATATTTTTGTCTGCTTCAAGAACTTTCACCATTTCAGTTATACCAACTTTCTTTGCTTTATGAAAATATTTTGGTTCAGCAAATATTGCTATTCTATAACATTTTCCATTGTTTGTGTAAAGAACTATTCTGTCAATGTATTTGTATTGTTTGTGAGTATAAACTTTGTTCTGCTTCAATTCAATAAGATATCCGAATACGTCCATCTTTTTATTCTAAGTAAAATGTCATTTCCGAAAAATAGAAGCGTAAGTGTTTCAAAAGGTTTAATGGCGGTGGCAGATGTGAAGTTAAATTCACCAACTCAAACAAACAGTCAAAGTGTTGTTGTCAATGTCAAAGACAGAGATGTTGAAGTGGGGAAACCATACGAAGACGAAGATGGTATAACAATTGTTCCTGTAAAAGAACCAACATATCCTGAAGTTAGCAGAGACTTAAGTTCTGTTGCAGATATTCGAAACGACTACCAACAACTGAAAGACAAACTTCAAACTCAGGAGAAGATTTGTCAAGCTTTAAGTATAATGTTAAACTTGGTCGAACACAACCCTGTAAAAGTGAACTCATATGTCATTGCACCTCATGAAGTTTTGAAAGAACTATTGAAACTTTTGACAGAGGCAGACGATATAAACATCAAAGAAATAGAACCCGACATTAGTTGCTGTGGTGTTTCATATAATGTCATTGACAAGATATACGTTATGAAAGGAGGTGAAACGTTGAACTTAAAATATAGTTTCCCAGACGTTATAAAAATATTTGACGACCACAACATTTCATTAAATTTATTTGCTAAGTAAATGGCAGAAGACATAATGGTTTATACTATTACGACTAAAAACCCTGAGTCATATAATTCTATAACAACAAACTTACAAAGTCCTCAAGGACGATATTGTAAACTAACCTTAAACACAATGACGACTAAAGCCTGTTTTGCTCTTTTGACACCAGAAGACTTTATTGTTGTGAATGGTAAAAAATACTCCTTTGAAGATACTTACTCAGATATACCACCAACAGGTTTTGTTGACTTATTTAATACTTTAAGTACGGGTGTAACATGTGCTGCAACTAGAGCAGGTTTCATTATGTTTGGATGTCCGACTGAGTTTACTATAAACGATATGAGCTATAATACAAAACTTATTTCTGGTTTTTACTACCAACAGTTTCCTATAACAGGAAAAGGTGTCATACAAGGAATGTCTATTCCATTGACATTAAGCACACCAATCTTATATATTGTTTCAAACTTAGGTTCAAAGTGTTATTCGAATGTCGACAGAAACTATTATGACCAAAAGATACTTATGCGTATAAACAATACTTTCTCTGCTGGTTTGCCTATTGTTCATTCGAATGCAGAATTTTCAACCTTAGTGAACTCAAACACTTTGGCAAGTATAACGTTGACATTAGTTGACGCAAACTTTGTTCCTGTAAAACTTTTATGTCCTATGTATTTGTCAATGACGGCAGAAAGTTTCGAATTGGAAGATGCAACTGGTGAAAGTATTGTATTACAAGAACAACTTCAACAACAAATAGCTCAAGAACAACAAATGCAACAACAAAGTCAAGAATAAAAAAATATTATTTTTTTATTTTTATAAAAATGTACAGAATAGATGTTTCAGATTTTTATGACTTCCAAGCATTCAGAAATATGTGTCCATTTAGAGACTATAACAAAGCAGTCGAGAATTTGAAACGTTTAGTCATTTATGTTGACTCTGCCCCAGAATGTTATGTCATGAAAGAATGGGATGTTGTCTTTAACAAACCAAGAGCAACAATAGTGTCTGAACAAGAATGTAGACAGAAACTTAAGAAAATAAAAGTCGTACAAGTTGGCATGAAGATGTTAGATGCTTGGGATATCTTATTGTCAAAGTTAGAAGATTTTTCAGTTCGAGGTATAAAGTTCTATACACCTTCTCCAAACTTCTATTCTATCTTCACTGGATATAAATACGAACAAGTAGAATGGAAAGAAAATATTATAGAAGCTTGGTTAGACCATGTCAAAGAAATTATATGCAATGGAAACGAAAAGGTTTATGAGTATATCTTATGTTGGTTTGCAAACATCTTACAACATCCAAGTGCTAAAAATGAAACTGCTCTCATTATAATTGGAAAACAAGGAACTGGTAAGAATACTTTCTTTACAGATATCTTATGCAAACTGTTAGAAGGTTATTCGAATCCGAATATGACAAACTTAGAAAACATCTGTGGCAAGTTTAACTCCTCAATAGAGAATATGAAACTTATAGTTTGCAATGAACTTCAAAGTATAGATACAACAAAAGTTTTGAACTCAGATGCTTTGAAGAGTCTTATAACAGACAAAGTTGGAGTTGTTGAAAGAAAGTATAAAGACCAAAGAGTTTGTGAAAATGTTGCAAACTTCATTATGGTTTCAAACAATGCTGTTCCGATGAAGTTAGAAAGTTCTGACAGAAGATATGTAGTTGTCAGAACGTCAGATTCTCATATGCAAGATACAGAATATTTTGACGACTTAGCAGAAACTTTGACATCTGACTTTTACAACCACTTGTTCTCATATTTCATGACATTAGATATTTCTAAGTTCAATCCAAGACAAATTCCACATACCGAAGAGAGACAAACATTGTTAGAAGCAAACAAGAGTGTATATGAACTGTTCATAGATGAAACTGACTTTGTGTCATTAGATGAAAAGTCTTTATATGATGAATATAAACAATATTGTCAAGAATATGGTTATATGGCAGCTTCTAAACGAACATTCTTGGCAAATGTCAAAAGTCTTTTAGATGTTCAGAATGGTGTATATACAAAGAAAAATTTTTCTGAGTAAATTTTAAAAAAATATTTTTTTATCCGATAGAAAAGATGGCAAAATTCATCTCAGTAAATAAGTACATGTCAGGACTTAAAGAAGAACTAGACCCATTCACATATTTGAATGTTTACTTCTACCATTTTGAAAAGTCTTCATTCAGCAAAGTTTGGAACATCGAACCAGTTAAGTTTGCTATTGTGACTAAAAATGGTGCGAAATTTGAAGACTTAGACATAGAAGGTTTGTTAACAGTCAAAGAAAGTTTTGACAGAAGGTTCTCAAACCTTAAAGAAGGCAAAGCATACAAACTTGTTATACCTTATGAACCAAAGAAGACAGACGACTATGAATATTATGAGTCTAAAGTTGTAGAAGTTCAAGGTAAATTGGGTAAAAAGATTTTAGAGTCTAAGCCAGTGTTTACTCCTAAAGAGGAAGAGAACATTGACATTGACCCAGAAATGTTCTAAAAATAAAATTTTATTTTTACATGTCAAATTTCTTTTTCTCTGGAACTGGTTCAGGTTCTTTCTTCTCTTCTTCTACTTTCTTTTCTTTCTTTTCTCTCTTCTTCTTTTCTGGTGGAGTTATGTCAAATTTGGCGCAACCATATTTATGTAAAAGTTCTTTGTCCTTTAATAGCTCATCTATTCTGTTTTCTATTTCATCTTCAAGAACAGCGCATGTGTCTTCTTTGCATTCTAAGAACTTTTGTTGGACTTCATCTTTCCAATCGGCGTCATCTCTGTCAACAAGTCTGTCATTGACAAATTTTAAGACTGCTCTGTAATGTTTTATGGTTCTTGTCATATTCCCAGAAACAGAACTTTAGAACAAATTCACCTTTCTTGTTTACACTATGTAAGATTTTATGGTCGACAGATGTTTTGCTGTCGAAAAGCTTGTCTCGAATATAGATAGCGAAATCGCTAGACATTTTCTAAAAGATAAAAATTTTAATTTTTCTAAAAATATGTTAGAAAAAAAGTTTGCTGACATTGACACGAAATTTGAGAATGTTTTAAACAAGAACAAGAGGAAGTTAGAAAATGCTCAGATAAAGCCTATACATGACAAGTTCTTATTTGCTCAGAATGGTATAACAGGTCTAATTGCACCACCTGGGTCGGGTAAGACTTTCACTTATCTTAAAATGGCTGCACAACAACAAGAACTAGATGAGAAGAACCCATTCTATGAGTTAGTTGTTATTTGTAGTACTTCTGGTCAATTTGACCAAACCGTCAATTCGTTCAAAGATATTATAAAGAAGTCTAAGTTAGTATGTATAAAGGATACTGAGTTGTTAGATTGGATAAAGAAGTACCAAAGAAGAGTTTTGAAGTATAATGCTATAAATGAGTATATAAATTCTAAGTTTAAAGACCCAAATGAGGAAATGCAGAGAATATTAGAGAAGAAACACTTCAGAAACAAACAGAAAGAGATAGAATACATTTCGAAGAAATTGCAATCTTACGATTGGAAGACTTACCCTCATAGATGTCTTCTTATCTTAGATGACTTTGCTTCTCATCCTTTGTTAAAGAACAGAGAACAAGACATGTGTCGAATTCTTAAGAAGCTCAGACACTTTAACATCTCAGTCGTAATATGTGTACAGACAGCCAAGAGTTTAAGTAAGGATGTAAAGAGAATACTTACTGACATTATACTTTTCCCCGGATTGTCCGAAGACGATTTCATGGAACTTATGAAAGAGTCCATGGCAGGTAAGTTTGACAGACATGAACTATGGGAGAAGTACAAAGTCATACAAGACCCTCATACTTCTTTCAGAATTCATATCAACGCAAACAAAGTTCAAATTGTAAAAAGTCAAGCTTGAAAAATAAAGAGTTCATTTACTCTGCTTGTTTGAAGTTGTCAAAATACTCTGTTATTTTTTCTTTCAGTAGCGGTAAGTCTTCTTTGAAGGTAAGTATTGTACAACCTTTCATATCATAGTGTGTTTGAGGTAACGTATCTTGAACTATTTGTTTCACATCTTCATTTGGGGTCATTGAAATCGGTAAGTTTTCGCGATAGAACCAACTTCTGTCAGATTTGTAAATCTTAGCAAGGTCGTAAAAGCTTTTGTTGTTTCTTCTGACTAAATGCAACATAACCATATCTTTATCTTCTTCATTTTCCATCTCTTCAGTATAAATCATATACTTATAGTTCTTTTCCTTACCTTTTGGTACCGAACGTGGTATTCTTTTCTGAATGCTTTTGTCTTTTGCTTCAAGCTTGTTTTCCATCTCTTCACGTTCTTGTCTATGAATTTCGTCAAGAAGTCAGTAAATATACCAAGCATAACGAGGCGAAGCCCACATTGCAACAGCATTTACAAGAAGTCTATGTACATAATATCCTCTCAAACCGTTTGGCAATTTTTCACGATTTTCATAGAGTTTTGGCGACTGCGGTTTTTTACCTACTCGAGTTTTTGCGACTACGAGAAAATCCGTAGTCGAATTTTCAGCTTCATTTAATAGTTCAATAGTGCTTTGGTTCCTAAACCAGTCTTGTGGTTTCTTAGTATCTGGAGCAAAACATGCTGTCAAAATACTTTGCATTTGGTACATATCGTCTTTGACCGAACGAATGAGACGGAGTTGTTTGTTAAACTGAACCCACTCATATTCTTCATTTAGAGCTTCATGGACTATAACTGTTGTTGTGTTCTCTGTTGTTGACATATCTGTCTTTACATACAAAATAAAAAAATAAATAAAAATAAAACTAACTTTATTTTTTCTATCTTAAGGAAATTCATGATTTTTGTGCTGAATTCAATAAAAATAATGTTTAGGTGAAGAGGTGAGATTTCACCTGTTTTTTCACCTCATTTCTACCCCAGTTATTTTATAAACGTTTCACATGGTAAACGTTATTTTTGTCTTTTGCCAGCAAGGGTACTTCTTCTCTTCCAATGGTTCGGCAGAACTATACTCACTCATGAGAAATGCCAAAACGGTTTAATAGAAAAAGTGTCATTTTTTCATGTCCGAAGACTCGAAGGTGCAACACTTCCAAAATACCGACGAACTCAGAAGAGCAGCATGGCAGTATGTTCTTGACAACTTCTTTGAGTTCTCCAGGTACACCTTGGAAAATGCTGAAGAACTCCGACACAGAGAATTTGGAGAAATTGCGCTCCAATACTACCTTGACAAACAAAGGGTAAAATAAGACTAAAAACTTAATGTTTAAAAAGTGACATTTTTATGAGCTCCGAGTCACCGAGAAAACCTGGTCAGATGTTAGCAGCCTACTTCCCTGAGGAGGATGGAAGCGTTACATACATAAGGTTCAAAAACAACGAACCTGGAATTGCGTACCAAATTCGCAATTACATGACCATGGAAGAGTACGAAAGGTTCCTACAAGAGAAACCAGCTCTAAACAACTCAGAAAAGAAAGAATAAAAAGTTTAACTCGTAATTGTTTATTTTTTTTTTACTTGTATGGGCAAGCTGCAAGAATGAAGTCGACTATCTCAGTCTTTGTCTTGACCAGTTGGACTGCTCTTGTAAGCACGTCTGTTTTGCGGTCTCCAGCTGGTGTTTGACCTTCGTAATTGCGCATGTTCTTGAGAGCTCCAGCTGTAAATGGCTGTAAGATGAAGAGTCTCTCAGACTGCTTGAGGTAGTCGTCACGGTCACGAACCGAATCTGTGGTACGAGTCGAATTGGTCGACCTTAGGGAAGAGACTGAAAGCCCGTCATCTTCCATAGGGGCTGTGGCATAATCTTTGCGTAAACGGTTCAGACCTTCTTCGAACTCTTGGTCTCTCTTCGATTGGGATTGAGATTGGAATTGCTGGGGTGGAGCTTGCTGGAACAACCAAGGGTTGGGGAAGTAAGGCATAGGCTGAGGAGGGTAGTTCGGGAAGCCTTGTGGTGCTTTAGGTTCCTCTGGTTTGGGAATGGACTCGGTTGGTGGGACGTCGGACATTCGTTTGTGGCTTAACCGTCGGACCACAACGATAAAAATCTCTGCTACTAGCAGTACTTTTACTGACAGTAGCAGTACTTTTACTGACAGTAGCAGTACTTTTTCTGACAGTAGCAGTACTTTTTCTGACAGTAGCAGTACTTTATCGTCGAAAACCCTCTCAAATTTTCCTTTTTACTGACAGTAGCAGTACTTTTACTGACAGTAGCAGTACTTTTACTGACAGTAGCAGTACTTTTACTGATAGTAGCAGTACTTTTTCTGACAGTAGCAGTACTTTATCGTCGAAAACCCTCTCAAATTTTCCTTTTTACTGACAGTAGCAGTACTTTTACTGACAGTAGCAGTACTTTTTCTGACAGTAGCAGTACTTTTTCTGACAGTAGCAATGGTCGAGGTCGAACCTACCGACGAGGCAATTTACCTAATTGAAATTAACGAGCTTGTTAAAGACTTCCTCAGGCAGAATGTAAAAGGCAAGCTCGTTAACGGTTGGATAACGGGAAGGGCTGCCTTGAATCTCGAGACTTCGACTGGAATTCCAATTCAAATACCAGACGGGACAGCCTTCGACGACATAAAGCAAGCAAAGAAGGAAGCCATTATAAAGTTCTTTGCCAAGCGTCCTTGGATACTACTTCCAAACAGAGAGAACCCTTTCCTAAGAATGAACCAAATTCTCAAGGGTCTCCTTCACTTCTCTGGTCAGCCGTTCTACATAACCTGTGAAGGCGACATTCAGCCAGTTCAGTAAACATCTCATTTTAACTCACTTTTTTTATGTTTTTACTCATGTGAAGAAGAAGCCTTCTGGTAAGTTTCTTATAGCCATATACATGGCACGCTTTGAGTAAAAACATTTTTTTCATTTTTTGAATGAAGCAAGTTAAATTCGTCCCACACCAATCTCAATGGACCGATGAAGAGTTTCAAGCTATGGTTGAAGGTGTTGAGAACGACATAGACGGCGAACTTGAAGGAGCTCAAACCACAATTGCAACCAAAATTGCAACCAAAATTGCACAAGTCAAAGAAGAGATAGCTCCACTTAAAGCTACCAAAGCTACTCTTGACCTCATGGATACTTACCGTTTAGATGTCAAGAGAGGAATAAGACAATTAAAATTAAAACTCTTAAATTACGAAGCTATACTCCAGAAGTTAGCAGAAATGAGAAGACTTTACCAGAGCTACTTACATGTAAGGGACTTACCTTCAAGCAGTCCGACCAAAGATGAATTTTCTGACATTGTCCCAATTTTGTCCGAAAGTCAGCTCAGATGTTTTGAACTGCTCCCAACATATCCAGAATATGAACGTTTGCCTGAACTCTTCCGCAATCTCAAAAAACGTTTTTTGTTTCTCATGTTCGAAACTTTTATCGGAAGAGACAACAAACGTTCAGAAGAAGAGCAAGATATTATTTTAAACTTGTTGTATGACATAACTGTCATAACAAGCTTTTTGAAGTAAAACCGCCATTCTCAAACCACTTCATTTTTTCGATGTCCGAACAAGCACCGAAGCCGAACACAATAGCAGATGTCCTTTCAAGGTTGCCAGACAAGCGCCCAGTTCAAATTCAAATTGCCCAATTGAAAGCTCATCTGACAAACACCATTAAGACTCTCCAAAGTAGTCTTATGACAGAGATGACCAATCTCAAAGCCGATGTCCTCATGAACCAAGCTTCCAATGAGAAATGCCTGAACGATTTCACGGAAACCTTGCGCAATTACGAGAGAGAGAACCGAGACCTTGCCAGACTCATCTACCGTTTCTTCGAAGAGATAGACGCCATCTGGAAGGTACTCGGAAAGGACAGAACATGCAACACCGTACTTCGTGAGTACCAAATTGAAGAAGGAATTGTCGAGGAAGAAGAGGAAGAAGAGGAAGAGAAAACACGAAGAAGTTCCTGAAGCCGCTACATGGGCAACTCTTGTTGCCGATGACGGTTACGAAATTTCCCAACCCTACCCATACCAAATCCGCAACAAGGAGACAGGCAAGGTTCTTACCCCAGTCCTCAACAACTTGGGACACTTGAACCTTAACCTTCGGAATCGCGGTTCAATCTCCATGGGCAAGCTTGTCGTAATTCAATGGGTTCCAAATCCAGGCAAGAAGATGAAGGTCAGACACATTGACGGTGACAAGCTCAACAACCGTAAGAAGAACCTCGAGTGGTTCTAAGAGTAAAAAAATTTATTTTAGGGGGAAACCCCAAGTAAATTTAAGTGTTTAGTTGGATAAGTAGGCACTATTAATGGTAATTTGGAAAATTAGCTCCCGACCTTTGAATTGGACTCTTTCGTTATCCCAGTTGCGTAGGAGGTCGTCCCAGAGGAGTTGGTAGAATTGCCAATTCAAGGACGATTTGTCCTCCCAGGCATTGAGGATGTACTGCTCGTAGAGTCTCATGACCTCTGCCTTGCACCAGACACCCTCTCCCTTGGAACGTAAGGCTTCTTCGAAGTGCTCGAATGCGATTGGCTGCTTGACCATCCGAAATGACACTTTTTGTCCGTTTGGTCAATGTTCGTGTCTCGTGCCATAGTCGACGAAAATACAGACAAACAGGTTATATATGAGTTTGAGACCAAGAATGGCGTAACTCGACCTGTCCGATTCAAAGACTCCGAGGGCGACCATGAAATTAAACGGAAATTAGCTAGGAAGGAATATAAAATGGACTGGTTGCCACCACCTCCACCTCCACCACCTTTACCTGTTCCTCAAGTAAATAAGCCTTTCCCGTTCCCAAGAATTCCCACATTTTAATTCAAATTCGAATAAAAATTTTTTATTTCATGCAATGTTAAACACCATCTTCTTTAACACCCCAGTACTTACGCTTGGAGAGGACATGAACTTCGGTGAAAATTTTGTCCAATTTGAATTGACCCATCTTCTCACCGACTAAACCCATTTCAATAAGTTTGTTATAGCCTTCTTCGTTCGTCATGAGTGCGTCAATGTTCTCATAGTAAACCTTGACTTTCGATTTGACTTCGAGAAGAACTAGTTGTCAAGGACTGCCTTTGCGAACTGAGGGTAAGACCAATGTTCGACAATAGGTTTTAATGTGGTTACTAAGCCACTTTGACCTTGAGTGAATTCGTACTTCAAAACAAAAGGAGAAAACCTTTCAACAAAGTTGTCGACCTTCTCATAATGTTTACTCTTCATCTCTTGAGGTTTCTTAATGGAATATCCCCATGTCGAATTCATAAGCAATTTGAGTGTCATTGCAAGTTTGGGGTTTGAAGCTTTCCTAATATCATACAGTTGTTGTATGACTTTTCCAACTGTATAGTTCCTTCCCGGGAACTCACCATCTTCGTTTGGAATTCCAGTCGGAATATATTGGACAAACCTCATGTATGCAGCGTTAAGGTCGACATAGTATATCTTTTCATCTGAGTCGAACTTGTCGCAACCAATTGGTCCAGTTTGTGGAAATTCAAGTGAGTCTCTTATCTTCTGAGAAACTTCTCCTGTTATCTCATAAACATCGTCGAAGCAACCTGTTTCATATAAAACCTTCTGACCTAACTCAGATGCTCTCCAATACAATTTGACGTCAATTGGATGTCTCAATGGAAGTTTGTTTATAGCATCTTGAAGTTCTTGCAACCTCATTGGAAGTTCTTCTGGTTCAGGTTGGTATCCGAACAATCCAACCCTTGTGGAACTGTGTACTTCTTTTGTACTAGAACTTTGTCTGGAACAACTTTTGGTCTTGCTAACAATGAAAAGTTTGTTTCGTCTTTTGGTACAAAAGTTTCTGTCAGCTTGTCATCTGGAATTGGTTCCAACAAACCTTTCTCGAAAAGAATGTTTACAGCTCTGACAATGTTGCACTTACTTTTACCAAAGAATGGGTTTGTAAGACTTTCGTTCAACATGAAGTGGTTGTGGACAATTACAATCTTCAACCATGGTAAGTCTTTGTCAACAACATAGTCGTCATGTGAAGAACCTTTAGCTGTAGGTATGTTGACTCGGATATTGACATTTGCCAACGGTGCAATTTTTGCCAATTGACCTCTGAGAATGTACCTTGTCTTCACACATGACTCAAGATACTTCATCTTCTCATCTGTAACAAGACCAGAGTTCCTGAGACATGTAAGAATGCAAGGTTCATTGACAATTGTTTCAATTGAATTGTAAATTCCATACCTTGTCAAGTCAATGTCAGACTTATTTATGAACGGGAAGTATCCAGCATGTTGTCTGACTGCTTGAGGGTTAGGTTGGTACCATTCGAACTTGACACTTGCAATTCCTTCAATTGCATTCAAAATGTCTGAGTCGGAGTCAACCATTTGTTCTCTCTTTGTAGTCTTGAAAGCGTCAAGAAGTTTTGCGGCTGTTTGTTCATTGCCATGTGCATAGTAAATGTGACCATCCAAATCTGTTATGGTCAATCTGAGATTGTGTCCTTTCTTATTTCCGTCTTGAATTGCAGCAAGTACTCCCATGAAGCCTTCTTTGTTCTTTCCTTCGTCAAAGTTTACTGTAAAGGTTCGACCAGATGTAATTTGACTTCTAACTTCACGATACTTTTCATATGCATATCTTGTTCTTTCCATGGGAGCATGTGCGTCTTCACCTTTTCCTTTTTTCCTTCTCAAAGGATGCAATTGTTCGTCATGTTTCCAGTAGAATCTGGCAAAGCCGTCGTGTCCTTCAACTTGAGGTTCACTAACATCGAAAGGCATGTCCATAAGACGTTCTTCTTCTAACCTCTCTAGTCTGTTTGGATAATTGGCACGTGCTGTTTCCAAATCCATTTCGTAGCGAAGACCAGACAATTTGTCATAGACTTTTATGGGTCTTCCCTTCCTATATTTAAAATTCTTCGAAACTCTCCAACCATATCTTTGTAACTCTGCTTTTATTCTAGCAGACTTTCTATCCATTCTATATGGGGGCATTTTTATAAAAATAAAAAAATTTTTTTTCTTTACTTTACATAACCGCCTGCTGCCATAAGTCTTTGACGCCAACCCATACCAGCTAATGAAGGTTGACTTGGTTTAGTTTGGAAACTAAACTTTGGTTTTGGTTTATCTTCAGTTTTTGGTTTTTCTTCTTCTATCGGTTTTTCGTCACTTTTCGGTTCCTCTGACTTTACTTCACTTGCAGGAACAGTTGTGTCGTCAACATCTCATAATATCATATGCCATTTGTTTTTGTTTTCCTTTCAACTTTTTGTGTTTGTTGTAAAGTTTAGAATATTTCGACTCTAAGTCAATGAGATGTTCTATAATGAACTGTTGGTCAGTGAAGTAAACTTTTCCATCTGTTGTCTCGAAAGCTCCTTCAGACTTCAATATTTTATTTGTGAGAGTCTGTTTCTTTTTTGAGATACTAGCCGTTCCATTTCTATGAAAAGTGACTTTATAGTTAGGGTTTGTATTTCCAGACCTGGCACTTTCTATTATTGAATTTTTCTCTTCATCTGTAAGTTCTTTGACAGGTTTTGACAATGGTTCTGAACTTTTTGTTTGTGGTGTCAAATCTACCGTTTCAACTTCTTCGGTCATTTCATCTCAGTAAAAAATTTTAGTTTGGTTTGTTTTCAACTGGTTGTTTAGGTTTTTTAAGTCGGTCTAAAACTTCCTGAGGTATAGGAAGAACTTTACAAACACGTTGTGTAACTGCTGGAAGCCGACAAATCCATCTTGAACCCATTTGTCTCAATGCTGTATTGTTCATTTCATCTCAGTAAAAAATTTTACATTCCCAAGTTTGAGGTGGTTGCGGTTGGTTATTGTTTACCCACTGTTGTGCATGGTTATATCCTCTGTTAAAGAATCTTTCACCTTGGTCCATATAGTGTCCTGCTTGGTTATAGTAGTCATTTGCTTTGTTATAATAGTTTCCTGCTTGTCTTCCTACATTGTCCATCCATCCTTGAACTTTTCCTCTTGTTTCAGGATTTGGAATAAGATTTGTTGCATCTCGTGCTACATCCCAACCTTTCTGTACAGTTTGTATAATAGGTTGTGCTTTCTCTTTAAGTATACCTAATGTACTCAAAATCTTCCTTCCAACTCCAAATACACCTCTGGCTATTGTTCCCACTGCGGGTAAAAATCTAGATGCGACTCCTGCTAATGCGCCAAATAAACCCATTTCTTATAGGGTAAAAAATGACGAATCCAAACAAGGACCCTATGTTTCTAAAGCGACAAAGAAAGCACTCATGATAAAAATCTTTAGTTCAACACCAAATGCTTGGTTTATGGATATCTTGGAAAACATTCCGAGAGTTAGAACAGATGGACCTCCATACTGGTTAATATTTGTTGGTCAAAACACAAGATACTGTGAAGCCATACCATTATGGTCCAAAAATATTTTAGATGTGAAAACTGCTTTGACAATATTCGTTGACAAATACCATCCAACAAAACTGACATCTGACTGTGAAAGTTCTTTCAAATCAGATGATGTAAAAAACTATCTGCGTTCAAAAAATGTAAACCAATATTTCATTGTCGACCAAAACCATTCTGCTCTTGGTGTCATTGACGGTTGTATAAAAATGTTAAGAGACTTAAACCAACCACAAGGTGGTGAAGCAAATGAAATGTCATATGACGACAAATATAGACACTTCTCCATGGCAAAGATGAGACAAGTTTTAAATATTTACAATAACCGTAAACAAAAAGGTTTGGGAAACCACTCCCCGAAGAAATGAAAAACAACCCTGACTTAGAGAAAGACTATATATTTAATAATTTAGTCAAAAGAGACAAACAAGAAAGAATGCCGGGCTTCAAACTTCAGAAAGGTGACAAAGTAAAAATAGAAATACCTAAACGCGACCCATATGAAAATACTATTGACTATGACAACAATGGGAACCCGACAGGTACTCACATTCGTGTTCGTAAAAATAGAAGAAAGTATACAAGAGAATATTATGAAGTTTTAGGCAAACATGGCAAAATGTACACACTGCAAGCAGAAGATAAAACTACTATTGCCAGACCTCGTTTCAAACTTGTCAAAGTTCAAGGTGGTATACTTTCAAAGACAGTTCCTAACAAATATAAGACAACTCCTGACGAATATGCTAAAGAAGTTGAAAATGACGACTAAGCAATTCTATACCATGCGTAAACTGTCATGTAAGGTGGCATGTATTCTTACTTTGTCCCGTTGTTTGGGTATATCCTGAAACGAAATGTGTATGGTTTCCTTCTCCCTGCGTGTCACTCCAGTAACAATTTATAGCAAACTTAACGTCGTCTTTAACATCATATCCTTTACCTTTTGTCATTCCTGACCAATCCCAATATCTATGCTTATGCCAACCTGCTTGAGATGTACTTAAATCTATGTAATGACTGTGTGCAGGTAAATTTTCACCTGAAATCGTTTTACTTCCACCTGTTTCCTTTGAAGAGTTTGCACAATACAAAAAACTGTCGACTATTTGTTCCCATACACCAACACCAAACATTACTTGAGGACCTCTTGCATCCATAGATGTATAAATAGAACCTACTGGGTTCATTAAATCAAACATATGAGATATTATAGGATTGTCTCTTTTGAACTTAAAATATAGTGCAACTATTTCAGGTTTCTTCTGGTTTGTGTCAGAATATTTTTTATAATATAATCTTATGTTTTCAGGGTAGGTAAAGTCTTGACTATAATATTTATTTCTGTCATCTGTATAATAATATACTATTCTCGTTTTTTCTATTGCATTATATCTTTTATATCTATAATAATCTAAATATAATGTTAGCTTTTGTTCATCTACATGTGGTGTTCTGTCGTCATCTCCATAGTCATAATAATGTGGTGCCGGAGCTGGGTCAGGCAATGTCATATCTGCCATTTCATAAACTCTTAAATATTTCTTTTGTTCGTCTCCATATAAGTTTAAGTAGCAGTTGTTGTCTAATGGAACTTTAACTTGTGTACCATCATTCTTTTTATAGCTTACATGCATTTCATTGTTATTTTTCGGAATGAGTTTATACCGTGTACCATTTTCTAAGGACTGTACCAACTGCCATCTAAAATATTTATTTTCTTCATTGACAGAAAAGTCACCAACAATAGTTTCAATATTTTTTGTTCCTATCAAACTTTGGTAAATTTCATTGACATATGTTTTATCTGCTTTATTTTCAAGGCTAACGTTTAAGTCTGTTATTTCAGAAGATGTGTGTGTATGTCCAACGTCACTTTTCCTGTTTAAGGTTTCTTGTAAGTTTGTAATATTTGCAATGGTATGTGTATGTCCAACGTCACTTTTACTGTTTAAGGTTTCTTGTAAGTTTGTAATATCAGATATAGAATGTGTATGAGTCTTATCTGCTTTTGTCTCTAATGTTTCCTTAAGACTTGGTATTTGGTTAATATAATGTATATGAGTCTTTTTAGAATATTCGTTTTCAGCTCTTGTCACTTCACTTGACATTTTATTGTCAACATATGTTTTGTCTGCTAGTTCAGGATGAGTATGTTCTTTTGTTGCATAAGCATTGTTAGCTCTTTCTTCTTCTTTTGCTATTGCATCGTCTACATATTCTTTGTCAGCTTTGTTGTCAACATCTGCCTTCAAAAGAAGTTCATTTATAGGTTTCTCGTTTAAAGTTCCTTTTGTTGGATTTATACAGACAGTATGGTTCTTATTGTCTTGAAACAGAAACTCATCTGTTATAGGGTTTAATGTCAGTTTTAAGTCACCCCCTTTCAATGATTCAGATATCTTAGAATAGTTTGAAAAGTTTGTTGTGTTCTTATTTAGAGCTTGCATAATGAGTTGTCGGTTGTGTTGTATTTCTCTCATAGACGCTGTTTCATTTGACATTTTTATTATAGATAAAATATGCTTCCAATAGAAAAAGAAAATTCTAGAGTTGCTACAACTAAACCATTAGATGAACTTTTTACTAATGTCGGTCAAAATTTTGAGACAGATACCGTAAAGCATGAAGGCTATCGTTTTGACTACCCATTAAGATGGTTAAGAGACCCATCTGTCACAAAAGCTATTGGCTTTCGTAGAATGAAGTTCATTTCAGAAGCCATACATGGTTTCCCATTTACGGTCGGTTTTGAAGTTCGATACTATAACAAAGAAAAACGTATGTATGAGAAATTTGAACAGGGAAAACTTTTACAAGTTAATTTGCTTATAAACTTAGAAACAACTCTTCAAGCTTTTCAAGAAAAAATAAACGATATCTATATTGAATATGCAAACCAGTTTAACATTGACGAAGGAGAATACCATCTCGATATTATTTATGACAGGAAAAATGCAACTGTTAAAATCAATAAAATAGAAGACCTTGGAGAAAACGTTTATATTTCTACAAAATATAACAACTTGGCATGGTATAGATTTATGAGGATGTTAAATCAGCCTGCAGAATATCCAGTACACCCGGACTTTTATGAAGTCGAAAAACCTAATGGAACATATGAAAATATTTTCGACCCAGATGCTATTATTGTTCATGCTTCATTTTCTGGCGCCCAAAACTCTTTCTTATGCTTGGCAAATGACTTTTACGAAAAACCTACAAAGTTATACGAACCACCAAGTGGAAGTATTTCAGACTTTCAAGTATGGTTTACTACAGATGGAAGAAAAAGAATAATTCCATTATACCATGCGTTTTACTTAGAACTTAGTTTCATATACAACTACTATCGAACGATAAAAATATAATTTTTTAATACGGTTGAGGTGTTGGATTTGGTTGCCAACTAGACTGTGGTGCAGGTTCAGGCTGTTGTATTACAGGAGCTTGTTCTTCTGGTTCAGGGTCTTTAGGTATAATACCAACAAACTGACCTACTCTTTTACCAATATTTTTGACACCGTTCCATACTCCTCTTCCGACAGATTTTATTCCATTCCATATACCTCTTCCAACATTTCGAAAGAAGTTTCCTATCTTACTGAAGAAACCCATTTTACTATATGTAAAAATCTAATGTCCGCCTAGTCTCTTACGTTTCCTGTTGAGTTCCATAGCATTCTTTAACTGGAGCTCATACATTCTGTTTCTCCTCTGGTAGAAAACATATTCTGGGTCAACTCCTGTGTTCGCGTCATCTGCATAAAGTTGTTTATATCCCACTTCAGGGTTTGTATAAAACTCTTTCCATCTCATATTTGCATACCATGGTGGCAAACCTAACGCAGCGTCATTTGACATGGCAGTTTGCATTTGTACATCTGTTGGCACTTGACCATAGTTTGCCATTGCAGTTTGTATTCTAACTCCATTTGGAATATTCTCTGGGTTTGGTTGTCCAGGTTGCTGTGCATTCGCTAAGTTCTGTGCGTCCATTTAATATTAGATAAAAATATCTCTTACGAGTACATATACTGAACATTTGCAGGCATTGGTTCATCTTCATATTCTCTGTACTTTTCTGCCACGTCAAATAAATAAATGACACAATGGAAAAAACCTAAAACAAGTAGTCCTATTTCAAACCACATTTACTTACTAATAAAATTTCTTTATTGTGACACTTTCTCCAGTTTATAGGACCTCTCTCATATTCTATCTTGTCATATATAAACTCATAGTCATGTATGTCCTCTAACCATCTCATAACGGTTTCCAAACCACTTTTATCGGATGTAAAGTAAAAGCATGGATGGTTATGTATAACGTCTAAAGTTTCTAAAGAGTCTCTCAAAGTCCAGTCTACTTGGTATTGAAAATCCCATGTGTTATAGAACGGCGGGTCCACTATAAAGAAAACATTTTCCTTGTCTTTATATTTTTCATACAACTCTGTCCAATGACATCTCACAAACTCTATACCCTCAATATATTTTTCTATGTCCTCTTTGAAAACATTTGTATAGTTAAGATATAAAACTTTTGACATAAGTGTTTCAATGTCATGAACTCTTATAGAACCACTATATAATAGTCTAGCAGATATACTATCCCAGTCTATATATTCTGCTTTTTTCAAAACCTCTCTCACAATATTTTTCTTATCTAATGGTATACGTTCCATCTTACCTATAGGTATCTTTTCTTTTAACTCTTTCAATATATTGTTTGTGTCTGGTATATGTTTGAGACGGTCCATATAGTTGTCGATGTCATTGCATATAATCTTTGAGTCTGGGAATATTGTATGACATAAATGGGATATATAGAAACTTCCACCGAACAAATCTACAAATGTTAGACCATTCGGTAGTTTCTTAAGTTCTCTCAATATAATATCTTTACATCTACTCTTATTTCCAAAGAACGGTAACGGTGGTTTTGTAAAATTCATTTATATATAATAATAAAAATGTTTTTACCCGAAAAGTGATAGAAAAGTGACAAAGCATGAAAACATATATAATTTGTGAAAAGCGACACATTATATAATGTTTTCGACCCAGAAGAAGGCTTCTTCCCAGAAGCAATGGAGGAAGAAGAAGAGTCCTCCGAATTCACACCAGAAGACTAACAATTTTCCGAATAAAAACTTCATTTATACTAAACATCTTCGGGGCTAGAGGGCGCAACGCGCCTGGAAGCCCCACTTACCTGACCTAAATATATTATTAAATATGAGAAAATCACTTAACAAAAAAACAATTCTTTCAAAAAGTTTAAAATTTATCTTTCTAATACATATTTTTGGAAGGGCATAAGATACGCCAACTTAAATATATTATTAAATATGAGAAAATCACTCAACAAAAAAACAATTCTTTCAAAAAGTTTAAAATTTATCTTTCTAATACATATTTTTGGAAGGGCGTAAGATACGCCAACTTAAATATATTATTAAATATGAGAAAATCACTCAACAAAAAAACAATTCTTTCAAAAAGTTTGACATTGATCTTTCTAATACATATCCTATGGAAGGAGTTTACATTCACAAAATAAAAACCAGTTCAAAATCTTATTACTCCTTGAATTAAAATCATTTAATTTCAAATCCATTCCAAATCCTTAAATCTGTATTAAAATCATTTTGCCAACAACCAACACAATATAAATTACATTTCCATATATCTTCTTGTCCATTTTAATTTTTTATCTCATTTTATTTAATTTTATTTAAAGCATATAGACATCGAGATCCTTTACACATAGTTATCTAAAATTCAAATACATAATAAATTCTTAATTCTAGAGATATCTCAAAATCTCAATTTTTTAATTTAAAATACCTTTCATTTTTACAGTACTATCACAACAAACAAGCCATTTACTAATTAACACATATAAGAAAAATATCAAATTACAAAACAACTTTCAATATCATCCGCATCGAATTCTATTTTTTCATAATTATCAACTACATGTTATTATATAATATATGTCGGCGCATATTCCACTCTATACAAGCGTCAGACACACTCACACAAAGCTGTGAGATTCATACATCTATCAGTAGGACTTCTCAAATCAAGAACACATATGTTTCACTATCGCACATCTGTGTAGGATCTAATTAACCCTTTGGACTGGTACTTCAAAATTTGATAATTTGATAATTTCATGTGATATCATCATTTGCCTTTAAAACAACTGTGCGTTAAACTAGACATGTTTCTCTATCATAATGCAAAATATCAAAGTATGGGAGACTCCCAAAGTGTCTGAAACTGATCATAAGGGTGAAAAACCGTTTTCCAGAAGTTGGGAACGTAGGGTATCATATATGGATAATTTTTTGGATTTGAAAATGCCACACATATTTCAATAGGCTATAATGATGAATTTAGAGAGCTGTGCGGAATTTTAGAAACAAATTCATAAAATTATTAGCAAATAATGGTAATGTTGAGATTTTGATAGCATAAATGGGATTTAATTTATAAGGTAATGGCATACAGTTATATCCTGCATCTTCAAATCATCTTTGAAAATTCCAAAAAAATATGAAATTAGAAAAAATTGAAATGCAGTAAAAGCTTTTTAATATAAAAACTTTAATTGTCTCACTATCATGCTTGTGAGATATGTGGATACCTTCAGAAAATTGTTCAAAAAATGGAAATGAGCTAATGAACTAAACAAAATCAGGCATGACGTTATGAGTTTAGTATCGAGTACATACATATTTATCATTTGCTTGGTTTGAAAAACATGAAATATAGAATATTTCATATCACAAGTCAGAAAAATAATATGGCGCAGTGGACTGCAAAAGGCCTTTCTGTGCTAATATTATCGTTTGGTATCTTCCTAGTTTCGTTCAATCTTTCTGGTATTCCTTTTTCCCAAAAGAAAATATCAATTCCATTTCAGATAAATGAGAGAATGTACCGGCAGACAATCAGTAACATATCATTTTTCAATTATCCTCTGACTATAAAGGCGATTCCTCCTATAAAGAGTTACTCAAAACTGTCAGTTTGGTGTGGTTTAGCTTCTTTCAAAGATGAAATCAACATTTCTTTTGCGAAAGACTACAATATTGGTTACTCGTTTACACAGTGTCCTAACATAACAGTCGAATTAAACCATATTCAAGAGAATACGAGTTTATGGCTGCAAGTTAATGTTTTAGAAACATCTATGATCCTTGAAATTGCACAATATATACTATTTTGTACATTACTATTGACATTTATTCTATTTTATATCAAACGAAAAGCAGCTTCTACACAAAGATCAACAATTGTTATTATTCTTTCATCTTTATTCATGATGGATCCATTTTCATGCTTTACACAATTAATCAGCTTCCCCGAAGTCATTAATCGATACTTTTCATTATTTGGCCTCTTTAGGATGTCATCTGAACTATTTGCTGAATATTCTCCACTAGTAAGACAGAATCAGAAATTTTACAAAATCATGTGTCTAATTCCATCATTATTTTTGATAATTATTTTTAATCTTCCTTATGATCTTTATTCAAATCCAATGATTACGTTATTTGGTAATTTGATAGGTTTAATAGTTCCAGGATTAGCAGTAAGCTTTTTGTTCATGGCAGGAAACACAACAGGCAAATTTGCCTTAATTATTCAGATTATGTCAGGCTCTCTGGTTGTTTCTGCCGAATATTATATTACATTTTATTGTTTTACTGATACATTTTATGATTCATCTTTTTTGATTCGATTATTTGAGTATTCAATGATTTCTTCATACGCTTTCTTCCAAACCATTATTAAGTCAGGAGAAATGATCGAAGAAGAGGCCATGAGTCATTTACCTCATAGTAATGTTAGACGCTATGATAAAATCGATGAAATCTTAAATGATTTAGTTGCTGAAGACGAAGTCGTTAAATTCGAAGAAGAAATGTGATATCTATAATATTTTGTGTTGTATATTTATATAATAAAAGTTATTTGTTTTATAAAATTCAAAATTTTTTAAAAAAATTCAAAACCTGAGGAGCAAACGTATAATGAAAATACTTACTTACGAATTTTTCGAAGAAAATTCATAAAGTTTCTTGATCAAAGAGCAAATGTCATGTTATTCGATTCAAGATTTTATGTTTTCTCAACTGAGAACGAACGTACAAAGATTTTGGGATTGATAGGTAAGATTGGGGTATTAGTAACATTCAAAATTAAAGAGTATTTGCGTTAAATTGTATTTCATCTCAGTAATTTTTAAGAATAGAATATACTAATGATGATCAATAGATGGAGAAATAGGAGTATTGAAATAACATCAAATTAAATATCCCCAATATCTTCTTTTGCCTAAATATTCTTTTCGGATTTTGAGAATTATATACGATGGACTTGAATGAACAGATGAACTTTTTTCTAAATGACTCATATTATTATGCAGACCCATTGTAAAATGATTCTCTACAAGTTATGCAGTCATTTTGAAATTTTTTGACTTAATCTCACAAAAATAAAATGACATCATTTTTTACGCTATCTTTCTTATTTCTTCATGGTTATTCGAAATTACAATTCTCAGACCTCAATCTTGTAATGCCATTTAAATTGTTCGGCAATAAACCACCAACTTATAATATAACAGCTTATTCAGGTAATGTAAAATGTGTTTCTTCAAATGAAAAGCTCTTATCCGTCCAACCTATTACATCAAATCAATACGAAAGTATTGTTACAATCGCAGTTCAATATTTAGGACCAAATCCAGAAGTTGTTCAACTTCATGCAATTTTGCCTAACAAAGAAGAGTATACCATTCCTGTTTACATTGATAGAATTGCAACAGCTCGAATTGAAACAAATATAATTTACTTATATGCAAATTATTCAGTTGATGAATATTTCCTTAGAGGTTATGATAAATCCGGCAACAAGATTGCCACACTTGACGGATACAATGTTGAATGGAGCTACAATACCTCAGAAATCATGCGTTTGTCTCCAGATGAAACAGATTATTCAACATTATACAGTAATCTCGACTCTCATATTATCATTCAAGGCCTTTTAGTTGGCAAATCATCCCTTGGTGCCAAGATTGGTGACAGCGTCATAGCTCCAAATGTTACACTCACAATTCTTGACCCAATTTATCTCGAGCCAAGTTACAAGAAAGTGCTTCCTGGATGCGAGTTTTATGCAACATTATGTAAGAGAATCAAGTCTGATGCTGATAGATGTTACAAGATTGATCTTACAAAGACAAAGTACTTTTTCACTTCTGATAATGATAAGATTAGTACAGTTACAAATGATGGCAAAGTTCACGCTGTTAATATCGGAGTTACACAAATCCGCGTTTCAGATCAAGAATTTCCACTCAACAGAGGTTCAATGACATTAGAAGTTGTGGCTCCATATGGAATTTATATTCCATAGCAATCACTATTGCTAGGCGATGTCCCTTCAACAAATGATGCCAAGTTCTTTGATTATGAAGGAAATGAATTTGAAAAACCAGACCACATTGATTGGCAACTCACAGAAGAATACAAGACTCTTGGTGACCATTGGGTAACTGCTACTGCTTTTGATAAGTCAACAAAGTTCCTAGTTCACGTCTATGAGAAACCAAGATTTGTCCCACCTTCAGTTGTTCTTCCACTCCACCACAACGGCTACATTCCAAACCTTGTTTACGGCAGTGGTGATTTCACATGGACAACATCCGATGCTGACGGAATTACACTTGGGCAAGCCTACAACATTATTTCCCATAAAATAGGAAAGTATCAAGTCATTGCTCACGACAACAAATTGAATGTTGATACAACCCTCGATGTCAGCATTGAAACAATGGTCGATCCAAGATTCATCTTCCCACGTACAGAGTTCATTCCAAACGAGAATGTCAACTACACATTCCAAGTCAGATCTCAGAGCGGAAGACCATTCGATTATATAGACAATTACACAGTTATATCAGATCATCCATGCATTGTTAATGATTCCGAAAACATCCTTACATCCACAGGCAAAGGCTTTGCAACAATCACATGCCAGATCACAGACTACGAACAGACCACATTAATATGTGTTTACGAACCATTATCTGTTACCAAGATTATCACCGTTGATAATGTTGAAGAAGAAACGCCATGCATTGATCGTCAAGATGGTCCATTGCAATGGCCAAATTCTAAGAAGCCAAAGGCTACAATCACTTGCGGCAATGCCAAAGTCGAGTTAATTGATGACACATTTCTTCGCTTACGAAGCTCATACAATGGCATGTGCAAGCTCAGTGTTACAAACGAGAAGACAGTAGCTAACCCAATGCCAAGACCAGATTCCTTCGAGTTCCAAGTCAGAGCTATCAAGATTGATTCAATAGCTATCGCAGTCATTGATCGTGACTCAAAGAATGATCCAGAAAGTGGACTCGCTAAATCAACAGTTGATGCAATTAGTATCGTGACTCAAAGAATGATCCAGAAAGTGGACTCGCTAAATCAACAGTTGATGCAATTAGTGAGATCTTTGAATTACAAGGTAAGAATGTCACAATTCCAGCAATTCATCAGCCAGAACTCAAGATCTTTGCTTACTCAGAAGGTAACCAACTCATTGGTGAATACTCTCATCCAAAGCAACTCATTCAAGTTGGTGACAGAGTCTTCAACAAGACATCTCAGATTCCATTACTTGATGAAGTAACTCTTATTACAGTTATCATGCCAAAATCATTACAAGTCGAACCAAAGAATGTAACTGTTATCCCAATTCATAATATCACTTTACAAGAAAACATCTCTATTTATGACAAGTCAGTAACTGGCGTCAACGTCCCAATCACAGGTGGAACAGGTCGCTATGAAGTTCTCCCTGGATCAGATGCAACAATCAATGGAAGCGAACTTATTTTGATGCCATCAAAGGCTAACCTTGAAAGAAAGGTTACGGTTAAGGACCATTTCATTGACGAATATAAGGCAACAATAGTTGTAAGAACAGAATCACCTTCTAGACTGGTTATTGAAGGCCCAGATGTCTGTGTTGTTGGTACAGTTGTTAGATTCAAACCAAAAGTTCTCAGTGCTTTCAACAACGAAATCCCAACAACTTTTGAAGATTACACAACATCCACTCCAGGATTAACCCATGACTATGACAATGAATGGATAATTACTGCTACTTCCGAAGGCAGAATCGACATTGTTATGTCAGCATTAGGACTAACTGGCTCCAAACAATTAGTCATCCTCAACAAGATCATGATTGAACTAGAGAATGTTACAATGTTCCCAGGCGAAACATTAATCCCACGTATCATCGGTGCTGGTAGCAATGACAAAGTCATCTTCAGTACAACAGATAAAGACGTCGCCAACATGGACGATAACATTCTCAGAGCAGTCCGTGCAGGAAGGTGTGTTATAACAGCCCGCATCGAAGGCAAACCAATTCTTGGTGAAGCCAATTTAACAATTCACGTTCTTCTTATCAAAGATTTCAGAATTATCCAGTTCCCAGAACACCCATACATTAACTCCATCATCCATTTGACTCCAATTTTCGAAACAGACATTGGACTAGTTCCTCCAAGAACAAGTAATTGGATTATTGAAGGAAACAACCAGTGGGAGAAGCTCTACGACAACACCGTTATCATCAGAGCTGATCATAAAGGACCAATAACGGTTAATGTTACAAGTCACCTTGAATCAATTGAAAAGGACATCGAAGTTGATGACAAACTTGAACTTGAGACACCAAGAGAAATATCAATCCCAGTTAACCATCCATACACAATCAAGGTCAAGAACAATCTCACAGTCAGCCACTCAGTCCTTTGCAACGAAAAAGGATTGATAGTTTATGAAAATGGAACAATCATTGGCTCAAGACCAGGAAGATACGTCATTAAGACAGAATTCAAGCAGCAGTGGCAAGTTACACAAGTCATTATTTCTAAACCAGAAGAACTCTATTTGCAGACTGATGCAACATCAATCCTTCCAATTCCATTAGACATCAATGGACAGCAGTACACTGAGTTCTCATATGACAACCTTAAGTATAATGAATCTTACGAGGCCAATCTTAACAACGGAAGATACACATTCGATAAAGTCGAAGAGCCAACATATGTCCAGTTCACATTTGCTGACGGAAAGAACTATGCTATTAAGAACACAACATTGATTTCCCACTCCATGGTTTATCCAGAAGCTCCATTTGTTATGAAGGGTGCATCTATTCAGTTCACATGTGCAGCTAAACGCCCACACATTTAGCTGAAAATCATGTATATCATAATACTAAGATATTTCGGATAGAAAATCAAATTCAATCTATATCATACCGAAATGCATCACTAGCAAAAGTGACATTTGGCGCCAATTTTAAATTAGTGGATTTTGTGTTTATTATTTAAAAAATATAATTGATAAAATATAATTAACATTAATAGAATAATATGGATAAGATTTGATAAAAAACAATCATAAATTTTTTTTGGGCGCCATATAGAGAACTATAGTCTGCGAGGTACTGATTCTATCTATGTACCTCGCAGACCATAGTTCTCAGCCAAAATGCCTCTAAAATTTGTATACCTATAAACTCAAACTTCAATATATTCAATTTTATTTTTATAATTAATTTAAATATATCCATATAATTCTAATGTTTTCTTTTAATTTAAAAAATAATAATAATAAATAAAAATAAAAATAAAAATAAACTTTAAAAAAAAAAAAAAAAGGTAGTGGGGCCTCCAGGCACTTCGTGCCCTCTAGCCCTGAAGATGTTTAGTATAATGAAGTTTTTTTTTTTTCTTGGGATGGCCTTCCAGGCACTTCGTGCCCTCTAGCCCATAAAAAGTTTAGTATAACTTTGTCCGGACAAGTAAGGGTCTATCGTCGCTACAGGAAAAGTTACAGGCGTTCCAAGGAAGTATACTTTGAGAAGCCTTTTCTCCCTTATAGAATGAGATAAGACGGTTATTTTACAAAACTGACAACACTTTGACCGAGTAGTTTTTTGTGCTGAACAAAAAGTGTCATATAAACATCTGTCAAAAACCGCTTTTTAACTTCACTTAAAATGCCACGTAAGCTACGTAAGAATATACGTAAGAGGAAGAGAGCATTGAAACATCCAATAGTAAAACTGACACCACAACAACAGTTGCAACAACAAATGATGAATGACCCCACTATGTTGCAACAAATGTCAAGCAACCCTATGCTTTTAAACCGAGTTATTGGTGAACAGAGTGGAGGTTTAAGAGCGGCACTTTTAGCGAAAATGGCAGGCTATGGTGGAGCTGCAGACGGAACAGCCTATAACCCTCAAAGTCAAATGAATTTGAGTTCACTCAAAAATCAAATAACAGATGTCAAAAAGTCAAACATAGACATACAGAAACAAATAAGTGAAAACGAAAAGAAACTAGAATATGACAGACACACAAAGAAACTCAATGAGTTAAACGTAGAGAAAAAGAAGAAAGAAGAACAACTGAAAGAACTAAGTACAGAGGAATATGCGAAAAAAGTGTCAGAAAAAGCAGCAGAAGTAGCAAAAATGGAACAAGATGTTATAAATTTGAAAAACCATACTACTCAATATAAAGTACTGAAAGATGAAGAAATAAAACAAAAAGCCCTGAAGACATATATGGATAGCGATGAGTATAAAAAAGAAGTTGAAGCAAATGTAAAGGCAGAAAAACTTTTACAGTTGCAAAACCAAACCGTACAGTATGAAAACTTAGCACAAGAAAGTAAAAATAACGACGCAGCCATGCAAAAGGCAATGAAAAGCGCAGAATATATAAAAGCTAATAATGACTGGTTAGATGCCCAAGCCAACGCTAAAGCAGCCCAACTTATAGGGTCAATAAGGACAAAAATACAAGCGGATGAAGACAGTTCAAATGAAGCTTTAATGAATGCTGACTTTAAGAACGCCTTCGAAGCTCTTCATAGTAAGGTGAAACTAGTGAACGACTTCTCATCTGGAAAGAAACTGAAGTCTGAAGGTTTCGACAAAGAGTTAAGAGAAGTAGCACAAAATATGACGAAAATAACAGATGCAGCAACGAGACAGGCAGTTCAAAGTGCCTATGACGCCGTTAGAGCAACTGTTGTGGAAAGTCAAGAAAAAGAGTTACAACAGACCAAAACAGACCTAGTAAATGCTTTCTTAAAAACGAAAAGTCAGGTAGGACATTATGCTGCAGATGGAACATATGTGCCAGCTGGTGGAACTTATATACCAGCTGGTGGAACTTATATACTAGCTAGTGGAACTTATATACCACCAAACCCTCCAAGAGAAGCACCTGCACCAGGACTACCTAAAACATTTACATCGTCACATGGACACAGACACAGGCATGCACCAAAACCAACACAACAACCAACACAACAACCAACAGTTCAAAACACTGCACCACAACCAACAGTTCAAAACACTGCACCACAACCAACAGTTCAAAACACTGCACCACAACCAACAGTTCAAAACACTGCACCACAACCAACAGTTCAAAACACTGCACAGCAACAACCACAAACAGAGCAAGGACATAAAAGAAGTAGAGAACAAGGAAACCAAGAATTCTTAAAAATGCTTAAGGAAGACTATGGTTACCCAGATACTCTTGACTTTAGTGACAGATATAAAGAAGCTATTAGAAAGTTCAAGGAAGGAAATACTGACCCGAACCTATTTAGCTTTATGGTTCAGCACCAAATGGGATATAATTTCAAACCTGGAAAATACAAGCTCGCTAAGGGATATGATTTAATAGCATATCATCCAAATGACATGGATGAATTTACTCCGAGATATTTGGTGTCAGAGATAAATGATAATTCAACTATCTTCATGAAACGCGTAAAAAATAGAGACGGAACGAAAGAAGAAAGGGTTATGAATGCGAATGACTTAAATAGGGAACTTGTTAAAAACGGTCTCGGAATATATGAAATGCCAGCAGATGAGGTACAAGAAACTCCACAGGAAGAAGTTCAGATACAACCAGACATGGAAGAAATAGTTCAGCAACAACAGCTAGAAGAGCCAGAAGGAAACGAACAAGTCCCTCCTTTGGAAACTAACTTCACAGAACTAGATGAAGATTTGGAACAGCCGAAAAATCTTGACCCTCAACAAGAGTATGCGGAGAATATGGAATCTTTCCAAGAGTCTAAGAAAAATTCAGCTGACATAGTAGAAGAATATCGAAAAATGTTCGCCGACATACAAAAGACTCCAACATCAGATGAAAATATTCAGCATAGAATGGAAGTACTGAAAGAAAGTGTACGCAAATAACAACATCCTTTTTACTTACGACCATATAACGTTCAATCTTTGGCTGAACTCGGTGAAAATAAAAGGTTAAATTTCACCAAAACATATAGAAATGAAACATTGTTTAAAGTTCATTCAGAACCTAACCAATATGGAAACAAACCTACTTTTGTTTCTGCAGACTATGGAACTACAATGAGATGGGGTCATAAAGCTAATCCGGATAGGTGGTTCATAAACTTACAACCTCAATTCCAAGAAGTTGTAGACGCAATGGAAGTGAATGGTGAACCAGATATAGCTGGTATTTTCAGCGCGGCTTTAATGCCATTGAAAGATATGAAACATGCAGATATTTTGGACCAGTATGAAATGAACATGGCTGATGGAAATATAACACCTGACGTTCTAGAACATTTATCTCAAGAACTACACAGAACCATAGAGATGGTATATTTGGTGAAGAGTTTAGAAAGAAAGTTAGGGAGATAGAAGGAAGAGAACCTATTGTACATGACCTTGCAAACGAAAGTTTACAAAATGTCATAAAAACTTACTTTGCAGACAATGAACCGAGAAGGGATGAATATTTAAGAAAACTCAAATGGACAGTACCAAATGAAATGTTAGTATTGAAAAACATGTTCCTTGACAAAATAAAACCAACTACAGAAATAAATGACGCAAGACTGAAACATTGGGTAAAAGCTTTCCCATTCACAAAAGATATTATTGGTAACATGGAAAGAAAACCAGAATGGCTACAAAAACATATATTTGGAAACGAGCTTATTCCATATGGACAAGCTCTGTTTGAAGAGCTTGAACCGGAAACTCAGGAAAGAGTCATGCAAACAATACGCGAAGACTCAAATACAAACTATGACAAAATCTTTCTAGGATATAGGTTACCTGAGATGGGCGACCAGAGCCCAAAGGCAAAAAGGACATGGGAAATTTACAACATACTAGGTGAACATGAGGCAAAGATGCAACAACTTGAAGCAGAGGGCAAGTTACCAAAAGCAACCAAAGAAGAAGAGTAGAACAAAGTGAAAGTAGTGAAGAAGTAACTTCATCTAGTGAAAGTAGTGGCAATGAAGGAAAAAGAAGAGTTAAAAACTCAGTCAGGAAGAAAGTAAAGCTTGGTACGAGTGGGTTCTATTATGATATATAAATCCAACTATTCTATATTTTTACCCATATGAAATGTACGCCGCTCAGAATATAACGCCAACAGTTTTGGATGCCATGAACGGAAATGTTTCCGAATGGTATAACGAATGCGACAATGCCATTAGAAGGTCAGAAATAGTTCCTGGAACTTACGAATATACAACTGCTGTTTCTTATGGAAACGTAGGTGAGTTTGGAGAAGGTTCTTCAACAACAGTAGATATTGCTTGCGACAGGTTTCATATTATTTCTATTGACAACTCATTCTTATACGTGGAACAAGACATTGAAATAAAACCTTCTGCCAAGTTGTCTGACAAGAAAGGTTGCAATGGAATTTTCTATGTCGGATACCAATATGCTCCAGAAGTTTTCATGGGATATAAGATATATTCTAACTCTGACTTAGTTCAAACAGTAACATGGGCAAACTATGAATGGTTCGCTTTGAGAAACTCAGTACAACCACAAGCTAGAGAACAAACAGACCAGTATGCAAATATTGAGAAAATAAGAAGACTTGACCCTAACGTTCCAGGAGTTTATGTTAACCTTTCTGGTTCAGATGGAACTGCTGCCACTAAAGTAAAACTGAAACTTAGAGTTCCTTTGTCATCTTTCCTCATCTTCAGGTTTTTAAGATACTTGCCAAACTGGGCAGGAAAAATTTCTATTGAACTTACTCCAAGCAAAAATAACTTAGTCATTGCACCAACACAAGACCCATTCAGCATTACTGTAGCTGGAACTGGTGGAGCCAAGTTCTGTGACTTTTGCAAAGACAAAGTTGACT